ATTAAGGTGGCAGCCAATGTTTAAAACAAACCCTCCTCATCCCATTACCTCCTTTTCTAGCCACATTTTAAATACAACACAGAATAAAAAATAAAAATAGACTACTGTGTCCTGCCCCACATGAGGCTGGGCCAGGATGAGTGGATTTCTATGCAAACACACAGAATGCCTTCTTTTAATCAGTTTGTTGCCTGACACAGATAGGAAAATTAAATTAAGTTAACTGTACAGCTTTCAAGTCACCATTCAGCCTTTCAGTTGAGACAGATGACTTCTACTTACAGTGCTTCTTCCTCTGGCATTCAGTGGAAAATTTGGCAATCCTCTCTGGGTCTGGGTTCTCAGCAATTCTCTGACATGGGGACAGTTAGTGTCTCCATTGCACATAATAGAGCTGTAGAAGCCAGAAAAAAAAATTGGCTCTTTTCAAGCCAGTCTACCCCTTTCCCATCTTACAGAAGTGATTTTCTTCCCTGATCCAAAAGCCAACACACCCTGGTCTCCTCCAGTGAGTATGGCAGGCACAGCACACAAATGCTCAGAGTCCAAAATGTTTGCAAAAAAGATCAAATTCCCCCATTATTGCCCTTCTCAGGGAATAAGAGAGCCACAGTTGAAGCAGGGTAAAGAGGCAGCCTTACCATTGTGTGATTTGGGCTGCATCATCTGATCCAGGGAGGGGCACACAGCACTAGGGGGTAAATGGGAAATTACAGCCCTTCCCATCACCCAGCAAACCTGGGAAATTATATTCTGATAAATGAACAAACTGGGAAATTGAGCCTGATTCTGGCTCAACTCCCAGCCATTGTAACCTCACTTCTGCCAGAGGGTTACTCCTGATTTACACAGGTAAAGTTAGACCCAGATATCAACTCTAATGGACCTGATTCTGTTCATGTTTACACCAGCACAACCTGATGATGTTGTTAAATAATACACAGTTAAAAGTCAAATTACTCACTATTACTCGGTTAGTAGTCATGGCAACTTCTTTCCTTCTCCAGCAATAAATCCAGTATCTGCTGATACTGCTAGGCATTGATGAGGTCTGGAATGGAGAATTATGGGACAGGTAAGTATGAGGGTGATGGTCACCTTGTCAGACCAAAGGTACTTCAGCATCCCTTTCTGAGTTGCCTTTTGGGCTGCAGGTACCTCTCAAGAGCTTTTCCAGCTCCATGCAGATCCTTTGTTCCCACTGACTTGACTGCAGCTCACCTGCTCCCCTCCTTGACCCTCTCCAAGCTCCCCCTCAGCACCTCACTCTATTTACACCCCTGCCATGATGGCAATCAAGGCACAGGGACCAAAACAAGGCTAAACCACCTGGAAGGAACAACCTCCACAGCAAGATTTGGATCCTGCTGTTGACAGAGGAGTGCTGGCTCCTGGACTAATTACAAAGTGCTGAATTTGGAGACATCTTGTGCATATTATATTGATTTTTTCTTTGGAACATGGTCCAGCTATCAGTTGTTCTTCTACGTGCTCCAGAGGCAGAGCTTTAACGCTGCAGGCAGTGAGGGCATCAGGAGATGGAAGCTACACCTGAGGCAAGCTCCACTCTTCTGAGACAATTACAGCTATAAAGGTTTAGCATAAAGCTCAGGAGAGCAGAAAGCAGAACACTGTCAGTCACAAGCTTTTCATTCTGAAACTAGCTCCTAAAAAAGATAAGATAAAGCCAAACCAGATTAACCAACTTCAAAGCAAGCAGCAAGGCATTTAGGGCATGCTAGAATAGAATGCAGCTGTGCAGAGCACTGATGAATTAAACAGGTAGAGGTTTCTTAATGACTTGCTCCTTGTCCCTTCCAGGTTTTTGGAAGTCTCCTGTGATTAGTCCCATCCCCTAACGAGATTTCAGCACCCAGGTGATGCAGCAGGGCCTGCTACAGAAATGTTTAAGAGGCTGATTGAGGGTGTTAGCAGGAGCTCTGTGGAACAGCCCTCCCCAATTGGTTACCCAAGGAAGAGTGATATTGAATGACTCTTACAAAGGACACACAAAGTACTTATTGTTGAGCTCATCATCAACTTTCTATGTAAAATTAACCAATTTGCTAATTAAGGTTCATGACAATTCGTCATGACAGTAACTCTGCACTGCAGTGATTCATCAGCTGGTCACTGAACTGGGGAAGGGCTCCTCTAGCTGCTCCTTCCCTGCTCTGAGCAGCTCTGCCAAGACTCACTCAGGCTGGGATCTCGATGGCTGCTGCTTCCCAAAGGAATTTAAAAGGTGGGGGGAAAGAGCATAGGAGGAAAAGAAGAGAGAGAGGAAAAAAAAAAAAAAAGTAGGTGGGTGGAACCCCCGGCAGTTTGAGAAAGAAATAGTCTTTTTAAAAAGTGGCACGGGAAAAATAGCTGCCTTTTCTAACATTATTTGACTTGGATGATCAGAAATTAGGCAGGTAGGTCTCATGAGTTCTAATTGGTACGTTTTGCATTAACATCTGTCCAGCCCATGGCAGGGCTCAGTCTCCTGCTGAAGAAGGAAGGAGCAGAGAGGGAATGATGCCTCTGCTGACTATGGAGTGTGAGGCAGAACATTCCCAGGAAGGAGCTCATGGCTGATGGATGCTGTGGGAGTCTCACACTGCCGACTAAGAAGGAGAAACACAAAAGTTGGGAGGCTGAAGGGAGCAGCCCAGGGATTCAGCTCACTGGAACACTGCTCTCTGGACCTCCCACCCCCTGGGCCTTCACTCCCTGGGGATGCCCAGCACTGCACACCCCCGTCGTGGAGCCTCCCCCACTGCAGTTGCCCAGCTTGGAAGAGGAGGCTGCAAGCACAGAGCCCTCCTGAGGTACAGCCATACCTGCCCTGCTTTGGGCAGTGCCCAGAAGACCCTTCCCTACAGCAAAGCAACCCTGAAAGTTGGAATTGCACACACAATTTGACTCTTGGATCCTCAGAGGTTCTCTCAGCTTTCTAAACATCTTCCCTTCTTCAAATGGGTAAACAATCTTTCACCCATTTAACCTGAGACACCAAACTCCATGACTCACCCAAAATCTCAACACTTCCTTGTGCCCCTGCCATTTGTCCTTATTCGAGGCAAGAAACACCACCAGTATCAAGAGATTTGTATTTTATGTTCCTCTCTGATGTAGCCTCACTCACTTGAACGCCATAATTTGACCTTCTGTATCTCAGGTTCACAAAATGCAGACAAATCAATTCCCAGGGGCTTCAGGGTGAACATATCTCTTCTCCAGGGGGTTCTGCAATGAAGGATGAATTAGCTGAGGAAATTCACAGCACCACAGCTACAATGCTACAGGCAGGGTCACCCTGGAGCACCTCCAGCTTCCCAACTCCAGCACAGCAATAGTGGCACACACTGGGGGAGTACCAACCTCCTGGCCCCCTGAGATGTCACTGCAAGGGCAACACTCAGAACAACCCCTGTGCTCAGTTTGATGGTTTCTGTGGGCAGGGCAGGCCCACAGGGCTGTCAGGGAGCAGCTGTGAGGGCTGGGCTGTCACAGCTGGTGGGAGCAGAGCCCCCCAGCACAGCTCTCAGAACCCCATCCTGTTGTGCCCACAAAGGCAGCTGAGACCATGGAGCTGTCTGCAAGCATTCCAATCACCTGTCAGCCCTAAATGGGACGTTTTGGATTTAACCATCCTGAACTGACCTGAGCTAGCTCTACCAGCCTCCCTAATTCAAAGTACAACCTCTCTGAGTCCTCTCCTTGCTTTGCTGCCTGATTTGCCTCCAGGACAGGCTGTGTGATGTAAACCAACCTGCTCGAGGCTGGATTTTTCTGGGGCTGGGAGGATTTGGCACCTTTTATTACTCACTTGTGAGTCCCAGAAATACCACAAACAAGCCCAGCAGGCTGTGAGGAGGAAAGGATGCTTATCAGCCATGCTCTGTTCCTTGGATAAAGGGCATTAATCTAAGCCTTTGCACCTCTGGGGCAGTGAGAAAAGCCTGGCAGCACCTCCCAAGGATCTGCTGCATGTCTGTGCTTTGACATCTCCCAAAGGGTTTCTTCAGCTCAGCTTGCTGTTTGTAAGCAAATCTCACAGCAAAATCCTGTCTGGCAGAGCAACAGGTGCAGTGATCACAACATCCACCAGCCCAGGCAGGCAAAGAGATGTGTTCCCACTGTGTCTCCACAGAAATCCATCCATCCATCCATCCATCCATCCATCCATCCATCCATCCATCCATCCATCCATCCATCCATCCATCACCACACAGCCACAGGACAGGAGAGAAGGAAGTCAGACAGCAATTCAAATGGCACCCAAGCCAAACTGTGTCAGCAGTGTGAGACTCCCACAGCATCCATCAACCATGAGCTCCTTCCTGGGAATGTGCTGCCTCACACTGGCAGATGGAAAAAGGGAATGGCTCTAAATCATCATTTACAGAGGACAGAAGTACACTCCAGAGGCCCTGCACAGAGAGGACAGGGGATGTAAAAAGTAAAGGCTTCTCCCTGCCCACCCCAGGCAGTGTTAACCCAACTGAGAACGAACCAATTCATCACAACGCCTTCAATTTGAAGTTTATACTTTTGGCTACGGTGGGGAGCTCCTCTGGAAGGACCAGATGTGCCTCATTGCACTCGATGAGGCAGGTGGGAGAAATTAAGGGGCACATACGCTTGCTAAAAAGCATCATCTGTGCAAGGTCTAAACTACATCTAGTACTACTAACTACAAGGTCCAACTCCATTTCTCTTCAACCCTGCAGAGGAAACCAGGCTCAGAGGCGCTTGGGCACAGGTTGTGTTTTTAGGCTCCTGGAAAGCACATGAGAAGAGCACCCCGATTTCTCTAATCCTCCAGGATGGGGCAAACCCTCTCAGACTGCCAGGCAAGCAGGAGAGAAGCTCCAAGGCTGCTTGATGAGGGTAAAGCTCCCAGCTGCGATGGGCTCTGCTCCTTGACAAGCCACACGTGGCCCCGGTGCTTCCCTGGGGGTTAAAAGCAGGACCAGAGCAGGGCTGGGGACTTTGTGCCGGTGGCTGCGCCCATGGAGGGCGAATCGCTGCTGGAGCGGTACCTGGAGAGCTGCAGCGGGCAGGTAAGGGAGGAAGGAAAAATCAAATAAGGAGGGGAAAAAAAGAAAATAAAGCTAAACAAAAAGGAGCTGCGTTGGCCGGGAATCGAACCCGGGTCAACTGCTTGGAAGGCAGCTATGCTCACCACTATACCACCAACGCTGCGCTGAGGTGCATCCCGCAGCCGCACCTGACCTGCGGCATCACCGCATTCCTGCTGGCTGAGCGTGAAATTCCCTGTGTCCCGGGGGGTTCCTCCCTTTCCCGAGGGGGTTCCTCCCTGTTCCCGGAGGATTCCTGCTCTCCCGGAGCTGCTGGGAATACAGAGGAGCTCTCACTCCCCGTTAAAAGGGATGATGCGACCGCGTTTAAACTCTTGTGGTGGGATGCTGCTTGAGAGGGTCAGCCCGGGTGGTGGTGTGGGTGGGCACTGAGAGGCAGGAGGCTCGCGTCTCCTCGTTCTGGTTAGTAAATGTCTGCAAAAATTCATTATTTCGGTAGTTGGGATGGTCGTCCTGATCTCAGGTGGTTGTAGGAACGACTGGGAGAGGGCTGGACTCCACAGCCGGGCATCATCGTTTCTCGAGGAACAAAGTTTTACATCCTGTTGTAAACTACTTTTCAGCTCAGAAAACAGCTTAGCACGAGCTGTTTAAATCCAGAGACCACCGGTAAAGCCCTCTGAATGTGCCCTCACAAAGTATATAATGTGGAAATGTATAGTACAGCTTTTACAAATGCTAGTGAGCTATTTATATTTCACATTTGCTGGTACCCTTGATAATATCAGATGTGGGATATCACTACAAGGAGGGAAAAAAAAAAATCAAAGTTTGTTGCTTAAGGCAGCTGGGTTTGATTTGTGTCTACCTGAGTCGCAGGGATTTCTGCAGTGGAAGTGAAAAAGGCTGTTTCCCCTTGAGCTGCCCCAAACCGAGGGATCTCGGGCAGGATCTGTGAGTGAAATCTCCTCCCTGGAGCTGCTGGGAGATGCCCAAAGCTATGCAGTTGGTGGGGGCTTGGTGAAGTTAATTAACCCAAAGTCTACAGCAATAACCCTTGGCAGCCAGCCCAATGCAAACATGGTCTTGTGCCCCTTTTGCAGCCTCTAAGCATCTGTCTGACAAGAAGGAAATATTCCCCAGCACTTAACCCTATCAGGGCTTTCCTCAGGCCTCTTGGGTGCAGACCTGATCAGAAAGGAAAATTTGCTTTCTGTTTCTACCTGCTTTATGCAATTTGCTCTACTTTTTGAAAACTTCACAGCTGTGTGATACTTCCAGCTTCATGTACCACTCGTTTCTCCATCAGCTTCTTTAAGATATGTCACAAACTGGCTTTGGTTGGTTGGTTGTGGGTGGCTTTTTTCCTGTTATGTTCATTCCTTTGATGCCCATTAGCATCATGTGAGTAGTCTCACAGGGAGGTTTTTGTATCATTTTCTCTACATTGTGGTTCATACAAAACCTTCCTAATGAGCTCCTGTACAGCTAATCCTTAGTTCAATCAAATTCTTGCAGACTGTGACTTCCTTCCCTTGCTTCTGACTTGAAAAATATGTATTTTAAATAGATGTATTTTTGTGAATCCATAATATTTTATTTGTAACAGGTAATTACATATTTGATCCCCTTTTCTAAAGGGTAAAGGAGTACCTAGATTTATTCAACAGCATCCTGCCCCATCAGATCTTCTGTTGGGCTCTGTATTTAGAAGTCAGTTTTAGAAGCAGTTTTTAACATGGGTGTTGGCAATGCCTTCCTGATTGCATCTGTATTCAGGCTAGTGAGGGGGCTCTGGGAGGATTTGTCACTTTGTCAGAGTTTTCCAAGTGTCTGCAGGCAAATACACTGCAAAGTGGGAGCAGAGATCTCCCCATGTGCATGGCTGGGTTGCCAAGTGAGCTGACTAGAGGAGAGCAGCACTAGCTCAGGGCTGGGAAGCATTGATCTGGAAATCCTGCTCCTGCTGGAGGTCAGGCAGCTGCTGCCAACTCAAGAGCCTCAGTCTCATGCACCATTCCCTCTTCTGATTTGTGCTTGGACTTTTCAGGTCCTTCTGGCTCTTGAACCTAAAAATACCTGATTAAACACACAAGCTCTTGTATGGATTCTTTAGTCCGAGCTGTCACCTGCTGTGGATGTTGGCAGAAACCACCTTCAGAAAGAGGCTTATGGAGAGGGAATAAATCCTGTCCTGAAACGCTTGCCTCATTGACATGATGATGCTTTTTAAACAGCTTTTAATAACAAATAGTTGATAAAGAAGGACATTAGTTGTAAGAGCTTACTTGCAGGTGTGTTGTGTGCTTGGTGCAGGGCAGGATGCTGGTTCTGCTGACTGTGGTGAGGCTTTTTTTAGTTCCATCTTCTCATCTATAGCTTCAGTCAGGCTGGTGGCCTCCAGAAGCTGAGGAATTAATTGCTGCTGGTTCTGTGAGCTGCTGCCCTCTGTTGCACAAAGCAAAGCTGACACTGTCGCCTGCTAGCAGGGAGAGGAAATTGAATAATATACAGAATGGGAGATAAAGACAGCCAGAAGATGCTGTCTGTCTTCCTTGGAAAAACTCATGAGTGTGATAATGTGGTTGTGTGCATGGCTGAGGTGTGATTGTGAAGGGTGAAGTGTCACTGTTGTACCTGCATTTCTCAACTTGTGCTATCCAGGAATTCTCTAGAGTGCCCATGGACTGTGGTGAAAATACATTATACAAGCTATCTGGTTTTTTATACACTCACAGACAAGCAAAGAACAAACTTTCAACCTTAAAACTAGTCTTTGCTAAAATATATATTGGGAGAAAATTATTGAAATTTCTTTATTGAACGTTAATCTTAATTTGCTCTCCTAGTTACAGTAACTGTGTTAATACAAGACCCTTAATGGCATTTTTTCTTAATTCAAGGATGACTTTTCCACTAGTCCTCATCTGTTCACTCCTATGAGCCCTTATGATTTAGAACTTCCAATTCAAGCATCTTCCCTGTTAAGTCAGTCCAAGGAGCTCCATACAGACTTTTCCTCCGTGGACCTCAGCTTTCTCCCAGATGTCACCCAAGACAACAAAGAACAAAACCCCTCTGAGGATGGTCATGAAACGCAGAAAGAGCTTGATGGGTCACTACCAAGTCAGGAGGACAGTGGTGTTTTCATGGATGAAAGCAGCTTGTCACATCCAGGTGCAGCTCAGCCATCTCCTGAAGCACCTGGCGTGTGTCCTCCCCTGACTCCGATGACTCCCATCACCCCAGAGACATCTGTTTCAGAAAGTTCTGGAATAGTCCCCCAGCTACAGTAAGTTATGTGTTATTTATGTAGCACACAGCATCGTCAGAGTTTAGCTTAAACTGCAAAGTGTTGCTCTGACTTTTCACTCTGAGAATGTAGCAAGCACTGCTTGGTATTCAGTAAGCAAAAAAAAATACAGGAGTAGTTTTTTCCCCTCCTGAAGGGGAAAGGTGAATAAAATGAACTGACAATATTGGATAAAAATATGAAGCTACTTGAAAAGGAGGATTTCCTCCAGGAAAGAGAATGTGAAGGATGACAGCAGACTCCAGGGGTTAAAAGATGTCGCTCTGCTTTTTCAAAAGGAAAAACAGAGTTGAATGTGAGAACCTCTGGCCTCATGAAAAGATGCTGTCCTGTCTAGGGTAGAGCATCTCTGGAATAGTTTATACCTGTAGAAAATAACCCACCCCTGCCTACCTTAGCTGCTCTAAATAATTAGTAATGGTTCAATGCCAAGCTGTGAAAGGCTTCAGTGATGCAGTTTTTGGAAGATGCACAAACTTATAATTCAGAGACTAATAGTTTCATACCTTGTTCTATCTCAAAGTCCAGTTTTGGGATTGAATTACTTAAGTTTGGCCAGAAGTAGCTTGGTGTTTGAGTGGGGGAAGAGACAGGCAGGAAATCAGTTGATGGCAATTATTAATTGGAATGTGACTGTACTGCTGGGGGTGGCTCTGCAGTGGCTGGATTATGCAATGAAACAATTCCTCCCTCATTCCTCAGGAATATTGTGTCAACTGTAAACCTGGCTTGTAAACTGGATCTGAAGAACATAGCTCTGCGTGCCAGAAATGCAGAGTATAACCCAAAGGTAAATCTTGGACTCAAAGCTTTACCCTCACTTCCCTTTCCCAGTGCTGATGGATCCCAATGCCCCTGTGACTGTGGTCTTAATTCTCCTGCTCCTAGGTGGGTGGGAAATAGCTTCAGAGTGGGAAAGAAACACTTAAAAAGCAAATATGTGTTGTGACAAGCTTTGAAAGTGTTAAGTGTTGCAAGACTGAAGAGAAATACAGCTAAATTCCTGTCAGGTTTTCCTTTGAATTTGTAGAGGTTTGCTGCTGTGATCATGAGAATCAGGGAACCACGAACAACAGCCCTCATCTTCAGTTCAGGAAAAATGGTCTGCACAGGAGCAAAAAGGTGTTTTTCTGGTTTTTCCCTTCCCTTTAAAAGCCTGAGTCTTTCACCTCTGCATAAATTCTGATGGAGAATGCCTGAAAAGCCTTGCTTAAAACATCTAGCAAAGGACTAATTGCAAGAAAAAGTGAAGCAGTGATGTTGAAAGTCTTGCTTTCTTTGTGATGACACCTTAGCAATTTCTGAACTCTGTACTTTTGTCCCTGAATTTAAATTGAGCTGAGCAGACATCAGTAGAAAAGCTGCTAAAATTCCTAGAAATTGTTAAGGGATTATTTACATTTCTCACTGGTTTTTTAAAGTGTTTAGGACATAATTTGTGTCTGTCAAGTCTCTCTTCAGTGTCTGTGTTCACCAGTCAACACACATGCCTCTAGAGAAAATGGGAATTGTGGAAAGCAAAAGTTTATTTCTGTACTCTGCAGCTTTTTTCCCTGAAGTCCAGCAGAGACTGCCTTGTTTTTTATATCCCAAAACAGCCAATTAGAATTAATTAACTCATGCTTAAGAGACCTCTTCTCCAGCCCCTACCACCACCCCAGGTAGGTGATTGTACTGGTGCCTGCAGTCTGAGAAGATGTTTTGAGGAACTGAGAAGCCTCTCAAAAGGGGAACCTCTGAGTGATGAAACCTCTCCAGTGGGTTCAACCAGACCACAGGAAGGTGAATGAACAAATGCCTTACTCCTTTTAGCTCCCTGCAGCAATTCTGGGAATGGAGCTTTGCTATTTTGAGCTGCAGGATCTCTTATTCTGGAGTGCAGATTAGCACAGTGGTGGCTATAAACTGAATTCCACCTCAAGAGCAGAGGAAAGCACAAATAAATGGGGTTTTTTCCCCTTTGCTCTTCCTTCAGTGAAAAGCCCCATCCCTGGCAGTGTTGCAGGCCAGGTTGGACAGGGCTTGGAGCACCCTGGAATAGTGGAAGGTGTCCCTGCCCATGGCAGGGGGTGGAACAAGATGGGTTTTAAGGTCTCTTCCAGCCCTAGCCATTCTGGAATTCTATGATTTGAGGGGTGTTTGGAGATTACAATAAAGGTTTTTTCCTTCAGTGAAGAGCAGTCAAGGCTGGCAGCCAGGAAATACGCACGGGTGGTGCAGAAGCTCGGCTTCCCTGCCAAGTTCTTGGACTTCAAGATCCAGAATATGGTGGGGAGCTGTGATGTGAGGTTCCCCATCCGGCTGGAAGGCTTGGTTCTCACCCACCAGCAGTTCAGCAGGTATGAGGAGATCAGCTACAGCCCTGTGCACCTGGCAGCAGGGTCTGCAGCCACTTGAGCCTTTGCTCTGATGCCTTGTGCAGGCTGACCTAGAACAGAGATTAGACAGAGCTAAAGAATAAAGTAGGGGTTTATTAGGAGGCTTCAATGGATCCACCTTGGGCAGCACAAGAGCCCAGCCAGGGCTGTACCCCAGGTGAACCCAAAATGCACGACCGCTTATGGGGTCTCACATTTTTATAAGTTCTGCTCCATTTGCACACTGAAGTTCATTGTCCCATTCCAGCTTCAGCCCAGGCAGTCCCATCCTGTTTGTTTTTCTCTCTTCAGCCCACAGTGTTTGTGCTCCTTGGCTGAGATTTGGACCATTTGTCCTTGGTCCCCAGCTAGAGAAGGAATTGTTTTGTCTCCCTACTCTGTGAAGAGAGCTCAGTTATCCCCCAGTATGAACCCACAGACTAAAGCAGCACAGAATCTAAAAAATATAAAAGCTCAAACCTGAGGAATTGGCTCCACTGTGGATTCTAATGCCAAGGTGGCCTCATAACTCCCAGCAAAGCAGATTCCTATCTGCAGGGATAAGGTTTCCAACTGTCAGGCATGAAGCCAAACTGCATTTGCAAAATACAAAATTGCAGGTATACTGAGTTTTTCTGGGATTATTGTTTTGGTTCTGTTTGGGTGTTCTTTAGCCAAGAATTGAAAGTAAAGCTGTAGCTGACTGATGGGCATGTTGTACCTGTGAGATCAGCTTGTTCAAAACTAGATATTGCCATCAGGAAAGGAAGATTTTGGCACGGATAAAAACAAATTTCAATTGTCTTATTAGCACTGCATCTAATACTTTGCATTTCACTTAGGAACTAGATATATATTAAATATTTACATTGGCTGTTATCTTGTCTTAGTTGCACAGGATGCTTCCTCATAGGGGCTCTTTGCAGACTAGGAGGGATTTACTGTGAGGGTGGGCAGACCCTGGCATAGGTGCCCAGAGCAGCTGTGGCTGCCCCTGGATCCCTGGAAGTGTCCAAGGCCAGGCTGGACGGGACTTGGAGCAACCTGGGACAGTGGGAGGTGTCCCTGCCATGGCAGGGGGTGGAATTAGGTGATTTTTAAGACCCCTTCCAAGCCAGGCCATTTCATGACCCGAGGACTTTTTGAAAATTACAATAAAGGTTCCGAGGCTATGACAAATAAGAAGTGGCTCACAAGTCTGTGAAAGTCAGCACAAAGATTTCCCTGACCAGCTCCAGCTAGGTTTAACAGGTTTCTCTTCAAGATGTCCAAAACCTGACCTGCCTTTCTCAGGGCAGCCAGATAAAATCAGTGTGGTTAATTACCCTATTGCTACTGTAATTAAAGAGCACTTCATTCAAACAACACTGAAACAGCATTTGCATTTTACTAATCTCACCTGCTTGCTTTGAACAGCTATGAACCTGAACTGTTCCCTGGCCTGGTTTATAGGATGGTCAAACCAAGGATAGTGCTGCTTATCTTTGTGTCTGGAAAAGTTGTCCTGACTGGTAAGTGGTGCCTCTCTATATCTGTAGCCCACTGCTGCTTCACTTTCTGAGAGAGCATTTAAATTAAACATTAACTAAAAATCAGTGTCTTGCCACAGTAATGCCACTTGGGGATCTTTTTAATGGCTGCTGCAGCTTTATCTGTGTTTTCTGCAGATAACATCAGTATTGTTGCACTAGAATTTTACATTGTTTCATATACAGAGTCTCAGATTTCCATGTTAAGTATTTTTTTTAATTCAACGCCTGATGCCACGTGCAAATGCAGAGGATGCCAACAGGATGCTGACATGCCAGCAACTACTCGGGCACTTAAATAGGAACCTCACAATAAGCAATTTAAAATTGCTTGGACAGGAAACAAACTTCTTAAAACACTTCACTGACAACATTTAGTAGGGATTATCAGAGGAAAGGGTGGAGATCTAAGAGCTTGTTCCAGACTGTTTGGCAAAAAAATTGTGAGCCCAAAGCCTTGCTGAGTCAGTGTACTCAGCAGATACCTGTACCTCAGATCCCAGGTAACTTTTTCAAAAAAGGTGAATTCCTGAGCTCCTGGCACATCCTCTTGATGAAGCTCATGAAAATGCTTCTATTCAGATGTACTGAAAGGTAAATGATGTTTATTCCCAGAGGCTCTGAATGTGGTATTTGTATTTATAACACAGCTTTGAGACATGGGGGGAAGGCAAGAGAAGTGCCTGCCTTAGGCAGAGATTCCCACAAACGTAAATCAGGAATGAGCTCAGCCAACTGAAGGATGGGGCACTGAGGACAAAGCTTAATTTAAATACTTCCCCCTCCAATGTCCACAATTTTCTTAGGTGCAGTAAAATCAGACTGGTCAGTTCCATTCCACTGCTGCTTGCATTTTTTGGGGTACACTAATTTTTGTGGCCTTGCTGCACACTCAGTCCTCTGCTGTGAGTCCTGGGCCCAGCTGTAATGACAAAAGTGAATTTGCCGAGATGTGAGGAGAGGTTTTTTCCATAATCAAGAAGGTAAATTTACTTTTGTAAATAAAAGTTGTGGTAAGGGAGATGAATTATTCCTGTCCAAGTGAGGACATGAGAAAACGTTTACACATTCAACCTAAGCAGGGCTTGATTCCACTTTTAGTTCATTTAAATCCAGTTTTCTTCTAGCTGACATTTGTTGGACCAGCATGAGTAGTGTTGCTGGCAGGGAATGTTCCTGCCTGCTGCAATGCAGTTTGTGTGCAAGACTTGGTATTAAAGATTTGTTTACAGTACCACAGAAAAGGATTTGAAATCAAAAGTGTCCTAACACACAGCTTAAAATTAAAATTGCTTCTCAGAGTTGGACAATGAGAGTCTGTGCAACAACTCCTAGTATGAAATAAAGGCCTTTCACTTCTTGTTTTTACTTTTCTACTCACCTCATGAACAGGCAGAACTATTATTCTTAAGCAGATAATGTCATGGTGGTGCTCAGTTACTTTTTTTCCTTCTTCAAAGCCAATATTTTGTACCTGTCAAGAGCAGAAAATTGCTGTTTTGGTTCCACAGATTAAACAAAAAACAAGTCTTAAAGCTAAGCAAGCTAGGAATTGTTCTTTGAGGTGGCAGATAGAAATTCTGCCTTTAATAGTAAGGTGCTTTCAGTCTCCTGGGTTTCTTCACGGTTTTTAATATTACTGGGTTTAAACTGCCTTCAGATATTCTCAGCGCTCTGTTAATTCATTTTTTTTTTTCTTTAATTATCCATTTAGGAGCAAAAGATCGTTCTGAAATCTGTGAGGCATTTGAGAACATCTACCCCATTTTAAGAGGTTTCAAGAAACCATCATGATGTGGCTCCCAAACCAATCCAGAAAAACACCTGGGCTTGTCCTGCTGTGCATGGAGCAGAAACAAGGACATTCGTGGACCCATTTGTGGATTATTAAGAAAATTATTAATTTATGAATGTCACATATGCTGATGCCTTTCTATAGCTTGTGAAATGTTCTTTTCTTTCAGATTATCTGTCTGTAATCCACCTGACTTCTGACAACTTCTGTCAAGTTAAAAGACTTGATAAATGAATGCACTTTTAATAGAATGTATATTAAGGTGGCACTTAAAAATATTTTGTAATAGAAGCCATGTGTCTCTTTCCCTGTTGTACAGGTGAATCCACACTGCCCTTCAAATTGGCTTAATCAGAATCCTCAGCTGTAAGTGTCCTGAATTGCTCATGCAGTGTTGTAGTTTCATGTTTAAGCTCAACATGTGTTATTGTCTATAACATGGCTTACAGAATCCTGCATGAGTTGATTTTGGTGTTTAGAAGACGTGTGCTGAAATCACCCTGATCCCAGTGGCTGGACATCTTGTGTGTGATGGTGGCAGGATTTTCTTCCACAGAGAAGACATTCCAGGTCCTGACTAGAGAATCTGTGGGTGGAGGGGTGTAACTAATTAAATTATCCAATTTGACATGGGATGAGTTAATTTTAACCAAATGGTATCCACTTGTATTACTCCCTCATGTACATAGGAGTTTTGTGCAGACAGAACCATGTTGGTTTGGAACTTTGTTAGAAATGGATTTGGAGGAAACACAAAAAGGCTTGGATGCTCATGACTTATCTGTGTTATTTTACTAGAGTTCAGCCACTGGCACTACACTTGGTAATTTTGGAGCACAACCAGTGAGGTTTCCTGTACTTGGTTTGAACTGAAGGCTTTATTTTCAGAAGGTGTCCTGCTCAGAGTGGTGCTGGGAGCAGGAGCAGTGCAGGCCTATCCCATGGCTGCTCTGGAAAACCCCTGGGAGTGAGCCAGAACAGCTCTGCTGTGTCCTTCCCTCCTGAAGGTGCCGTACCTGTCTGGAAACACCACTAGAGGTTGCTCTTAGATGACTTAAGTGCAGCCCGGGTCAAAATCATCCTCTGTCCTTGCTGAAAATACTCGGCTTAACTCAGAACAGGGTCTTGCTGGGCTCTGTCTTGCTGCCACAAAAGTTTATTTCTGATTCAGTGAGGGTGTGGCTTCATCTTCTGTATCTGTTCTGTGTCTCTCACAAGTGGTTTTATATCTATCTCCCTGCTTCTTTGGAAAAGAGTTTGAAAAACTTTGTGCACTTCCTCACGATAAGCTGGCCTTAGCTGTTATCAGTTTCTGTCAAACTGTGGGTTTCCACACTCAAATCTATTTTAAACACAAGCTTACTTTTCTGTTTGCTTTCTAACATTGGAGACTTTCCACAGCCATGGGCTGGACTTTTATTTGCACTGTAGCTGTAGTAGCAGCTGATGAACTTCAGTTAGAATAATATTTTGTAAGTGAAAACACTCTGCTTTTATGAGGTGTTGGGGTGGGGAGGGGGGAAGTTTATCTAAGATGAGCCCTCTTTGAGAAATCACATTTTGTTTAAGAACTTCCCACATGATTTCAGTGGTAAAATTAATGTTCTCTAGAAGTACAGATAAAGCCTCAGAGATAAGAAATGGGCTCTGTGCCTTTTTACTGTGCTACTGATTAAGGTTAATGTTTGCTATGGTAACTCTTGTCTTAAAAACAAGTCTTGGTTCTACCTCCACACGGTGCTGTTCCTGCTTAGTGATTGATAACACTGGGAAGGGGGAAATGTTGGCTGGGAATTGCTCTTTAAAAAAAAAATAAAATCCCAGGGGAAAAAAAAAAAAAAAACTAAAAAACGGTAGGGCAATGTGTTGTTGCAGTTGTGTTTCTTTTGGGAAAGGGCATGTGGGGATATTAAGTTATTCTGGCTTCTGTGGACTCTGTCTCATCTAATTGCCTACAGACAGAAAAGGGAATGGTTTCAAACTGAGAGTAGGTTGATATTAGGAAGTATTAATTACCAGGAAAGACTTCTTTACTCAGAGGGGGGTGCTGAGGCCCTGGCACAGGGTGCCCAGAGCAGCTGTGGCTGCCCCTGGATCCCTGGAAATGTCCAAGGCCAGGCTGGACAGGGCTGGGAGCAGCTGGGACAGTGGCCGTGTCCCTTTTGAGGTCAGGAGCTTGAATTGGATGATTTTTAAGGTCCATTCTCCTGAACCCTACTTCATCCTCTGTCTTTAGCTCCTCCTGTCGCTCAACCATGGAGCCTGGGTTGTGGTACCCTCCCTGTGCATCGGTATTTGCCGCTTGGACAAAGCCACTTGGCTGTTATTGTAAACGCAGGGCCGCGCTTTCCCACAGCAGTCCCCACAGCAGCGTTACCGCCTGGTTATGCTACACCTACCCGCTGTGAAGCCCCGCCAACCAGAATACAACACCCCCATCGCTGTGGGAGCAGGGCAGGGACGATCCCCTTTCCCCCAGCAGAAAGCAAAGGGCGCGGGTTTTATTAAAAACCGGGGTTCTCCCGGCGGAGCGCCGCCCGCCCCGCGCCCTCAGCGCCCCTTCCCACAATGCCCGGCAGCGGCGGCCCACGTGACCGCGGCCCCAACATGGCGGCTCCCAGCGGCCGCCGGCCGCAGCCCGCGGGGCCGGGCGGGGGCAGCGCGGCCGGGCCCGGCGCTCTGCGGGGCGCCGAGGAGGACGCCGAGGGTCTCTACGTGGCGGTGGAGCGGTGCCCGCTCTGCAACACCACGCGCCGCCGCCTCACCTGCGCCAAGTGCGTGCAGAGCGGCGATTTCGTCTTTTTCGACGGGCGAGACTCTGAGAGGTACCGGCGGCTCTGAGGGGAGCGGGGCGGCCTCTCGCTGCCCTGCTGCGGTCGCTGAGCCTCGGGGCTGGGGGTGAGGGGCCGGGTTGTGCCCTTTCCCCGCTGGCTCGGAGTGTGGGTGGGGGAACGCTCCGGGCCAACCCCGGGGCTGGGGGCGGACACAGCACGACCCTCGGTACGAGCCTTGGAATAATAATCGTTTTAATAATAATAATTAAATAATCACCCCGAGTTTCACTCAGGTGCAGATGCGTCCGTGTCGATGTAGCCACAGAAGCTGCAGGCAGTTCAGGGCACAGAGTGCGGTGTTATCTCAAACAGGTTACCTATTTTCGTCAGCACTCCTTGAAACAGTGGTTTTCTAAATCGTCAAGCAAAGTTAGGAAGGTGTATAAGAAGGAAAATAAACATTTTCTTGTGTTTATACTCGTAAATGTGGATAAAAAAATTATCCACTCGAGTTCATGGGGTGGCATCCCGCTCCTTTGGGAGCACTGCTCTCCCTGGGGCAGCAGGATGAGCGCTGTGCCCATCAACAAATTTCCTCGTGGAATGACTCAGGTGGCTCCTCCATCCATCCCAGATTCTTCAAAAGTCCCCAGGGCCGTGTCTGGGACCGCTGTGACTCTTGGCTGGCACCGTGTTCTTGGTTAGCAGCTGCTGGGAGTGATTCCTGGGGCTATTTTGGGAAGGTGGTGGGGTGGCGGTGTCCTCGCTCCAAAGGCTCCTTGTGTCCCCAGGAACAAGGGGACAGTGGTGCCTTTCACCCACCAGCCTCCACGGGAGTGGGGAAATGCTGTCAGACAGTGTGAGTCAGCTTGAAGAACTCAGACTTTAGTCTGTCACTGGATGGCTTTCCCTTTTTTTTGATATAAAAAAGCTGTGTTGGAGAACCACAAACTCGATTTAGCCTGTCTAAAATAGGTGGAAAATGTGTAGTTGTGTGAGACTGCTTGGGGTTTTCTGCAGATTCTATTAAAAGATTGGATATGGATCCTGGAATATAAACCAAGTTTGTTTTTTTCCCCCTGTTCTTTTTCAGCCTTAAGTTTTTGGCTAAACATCAGGTTTAATTATAGAAATTCAATTGTAGCCTTTGTTAGAGTGGAAGCGCTGTTGTTTTGTATTAACCAAGGCTTAAGAAGTCTCTGCCCATCAGAAAAATGAAGTTATAAAGAAGCAGCTTTAGCCAAAGCAGCAGTGTAAGAGAAAACCCTCTTTATCTTCTCACATGAGACAGGATCAGCTTTTCTGTCTGACAGTTGTCACTGCATCCTCCTCAGAAGCTTTCACTGCCCCATTTGTCTGTGGTTGGAAAGGCTCCTGTATATTTACATTGTGAATTTTTTACTGCAAGTATTAATTTTTTTTTTTTTTTTGGTGTTTTGTACCCCTCCTCTGCCCCTGGACATCACAATTCCGTCCCTGGGGGTCACTGATGTTGTATTAACCTGGGGCCTCCCTACACACTCCATTTTCCCAGGCTTTGTTTTTCCTGCTGTTCAGAACTTTTCCACGAGTTCATTGCAGTAGTGCAATTCATTAAAAATGGCAAATTTATTTTAATGAATTAAAGGAACAGCACACCTGTATGAATAACCCAATGTTAACAACCTAAACATCCTCAATGGCTGCAGGAACACTGTGTAGGGATGAAAACTTGGGTTTTGAGGATAATGGGATTATGTTTAAACCATGCTTGAAACATTGTGTTTGTCTTCTCTAATTAATATTTGGAATTACTGATTTAAGAGTTGGGAAGAGGTCAGTTTTCTTTGTTTGCTTTTCGTGGGTGTCTCTGAATTTCTTGGGGTGTGAGCCCTGGGAGAGGGGGAGATGTTTGAAAAGGTGACCAGGCAGCACCAGGGCAGAGCCATGCAGGGACAGTTCATGGGCTGCCTCTCAGCTGGTGTTTACAGCCATCGTTATTTATTTGTTTATTTTATGCCTTCTAGTAGTACCTGGGTTAATTTTAGATCCATCACTGCTGGAGGAGTGTCATGACAAGGGCTTTGCTGAGTGGCTCAGTGTAAGAAATTCAGAATGTGGAAGTGTTTGGGGGCACTTGGGCCTCCCATTTGTCTTTTTTGAAATGTTACAGATGGGGGAAAAGGATCATTATCTTCCTGGTTAAATATAAATAAACCAAGCATTACTCCTTGTATCCAAGAGTGGTTTATTTTTAGAATTTTCTTGTGAATTTTCCTTATATGAAGACAAACAATTTCATGTTCTAATTATTTCAGATTTCATGGGACTATTTTGTGAGCTAATTTTTAGAACAGTAAAACTGGAAGTTTTTCATCTGTCTGGCAAAAATCACACCCCATATCTGTGAGGGGGAGAGACTGAGGAGCTGTTAAGATTAATTACTTAAGGACAGCTACAATTAAGGATGAGTAGTCCAGAAGTCCTCCAGTAGAACAGTCACTGACATCCTTCTTTTCATGAGTAATGTGTTGTGTATTCAAAAGCCAAGCTGGCATCTTGAAGTTGGTCTCAGCTCAGAGGTTCTTCTTCCTCCTGGGAGTGTCCTCCAGCCTGTCATGTACATAAATTCTCACAGTGTCTTTCCCAGACTGCTGAATTGCTTTGCTTTGTGTATCTGCAGATGGCAAAAGACAATGTAATTGTGATGTCCTGAGCCTGGCTGATTTCTCCAAGCTATGGGTTATGATTGGGAATAGTGATTTTTTTTTTTCATCAGGGGTGTTACATTGAATATGGTGCCCTCAGGTCCTTCAGCATTAATCAACTGCTGTAGATTAGGAAGCCCCTCTCTCTGCTTCTCTCTAGTCATGAACATGTGGAAATAAGCCAGGCAACCACAGAAAATCTGACCTTAATGTGATAAGACTTGAGGAAAGAGAAACATTTCATGGGTAATTCAAGCTGTTCTCTCCTCTCAGTTTACATTTTATGGGAGTTCCTATAATAATTCATCCCAAGTTTTGTTTCTTTGCCAAATTGCAAGGCTAAAGATATATAAAGGAAAATGAGTTGCAGGATGCAGTGCAACTGAAATCAGAGCTATATAAAGCATTGGAAATGTTTGCTTAGGAGAAACCTGCTGGAGGATTTGGTAGGAGCTGACATTGCTGCCGAAGCGTGTGGTGAGCTGGAATTTCTACAGGCTTCCACAAATATTTTTGTCTTCCCTCCACAGTCAGAACTTCATTTATTCCTGTATTCTTTGACAGATCATTCAACTTTTTGCTGGTGTGATGGACAGGAATTGGGTCATTCTGTTCAGTCAGGGTCTGTGCCCATGGACCCAGCTCTGAAACCAAGAATTGGCAAATGACCCCAGCGCTCTCCCTGGGTTCCTGCTGAGCTCTGTGTTTCTGGGCCAGGGGAATTTTGGTGGCAGCCAAAGGTCGGGGTGCAGTAGGTGTGCTCTGCTCTGTGGTAAACAGGAGGCTCATGCAGGGCTTTTGTCATTTCCAGGGTGACTCCTGGGGTGAGGACACACAGGAAGAGGGGACTCAGCTGAGCTGAGCAGCTGGGCTCCAGTTGCACCACATTCCTCCAGCTCACGTGTGGCCTCTGGCTTTTGTGCCAAGCACCTGCATTTGGTTTTGGTTTGTTTTGGAAGGAAAATAGATTCTTTTGCTTGACTACAGAAGCAGCAGCCAGTGGTTTTGTTGTTCTAATGCTAATGTCATCTGGGAGGGTGGTTACACACGCTCTGAATCCAAAGGTAGTCACCAAGCTTTTAGACTGCAGCACTTGAAGGAAAAAAAGTGAAGCATTTTGAAGTTTTACCTGAAATCAAATCCGCAGAGTTACAGAGAGGGAAATCCAAGATGTCATCCTGTGAAGGCTTAGTGTGCTGTTCTTTCTAAATAAAGCTTAAATATCCATAAAATAAAGGTAAAGTCATAAAATCACATGGTTTGGGTTGGAAGGGACCTTAAGGACCATCTAGTTGTAACCTCTGCCATGGGCAGGGGCACCTTCATGCACCATCCTGCCTGGCCTTGAACACTTTCAGGGCTGGGGCATCTGCAAATATCATAGCTCTGCTAGGATGAAATTGTCAATTCTACGTTTTGCAGAGAAAAATAGAATGAATTATGGAACAACAAGGGAAGCAGAACGTGGCTTCTGTATCCTCAAAGTGTGAAAACACAAGGTGATGAATCCTGAAAAAATTCCTTTCTGATCAGTTCCCATATCCTAGAAACCAGTGAAGGAGAGCTGAAGCAGACATTTGGGTCATGGGCTATAGTGAGATAGTACTATTTATTTCTCCAGTGACTGAAGGTTTTTAAAGTACTCCATGTTTTTTTGTAACACACAAAATACTGATCTTGCAAACTATAAATCTAGAAATAGCAGTAGTTTGCTATTTGTTTGATAGTTTGGCACTCTGATGTTTCTCCAGCTTAGAGGTTCTGTTGCAATTCCAGTGAGACTCATGCTCTGGAATTCTGCAAGAGTTGTACACATTTAGCCATTAACTTCCCCAGATCAAGACAGATAGCTGAGGTTTGGAGAATCCCCAAGCTTCAATTTTATTATCTTTTTTAGATAACTTACAGTGCTGTAATTGTGCAAAAAATCAGTAAAAGAATTTAATCTCTTCCAGGTTTTCAGACAAGAAAGAAAGGCTGATGCATCTTAAAACCAAACAGAGAGAATTCCAAAAACAGTAAGTTGTATTTATTAAATTGATATAAAAGCTAAGAGATCTCATAAAAGGAAATAGTATCTTTTAACACACTATTGCTGGAGACAGATGAAGTCCAGATAGTCATAAAACTTTCAATCATGTTTTTTCCTCTAGTGTTTTGAAGGCCATGGAAGGGAAAGAAATAACTGATCAGCTGGTGAGTTGCTCCAAGTGTCCCATGGTTTTTAAACTCTCTGAATTCCTAGATCTCATCGTTTAAAGTTACAGTTTACCTTGAGGGCATTGTGCTGCTTTCCCAAAGAGCCTGTTGTAAGCAAAACCGAAATGACTGAAATGGGCTCTGCCAGCAGAGTGTTCCAAGCTGTCTGAATTTTTCATTTCTCCCTAGATATTTGTTCAATAACTTACTTTACTGATAGACTTTATTCCAAGCACTCCTTCTGTTTGTGCCATTCTTCTGTGCACAAAACACTGTATGAAATATTCAGTTGTTTGATCCATTCAAGAGCATCCTGCTACTTTTGCACTAAAGCTGCTGGCTTTGCTGTTAATCATTAGTTCAGTGTGTTTGAAGTCGTTTATGCCCTAGAGTTGCTGAATGTTCTTTTTCAGAGATGGAAAATAATGTCTTGCAAGATGAGGATTGAGCAGCTGAAACAGACCATTTGCAAAGAAAATGATGAAATGACAAGACGTGAGTAATGCCTTTGCTTTTGTGCTGTGGAAAAACTCCCTGTGCCTTAGAGTGAAAAACCAATTGAGGTGAATTTGAGCGTTAGTTTTTTTAAAAATGGTGAATTTCCAAACCTCCGCTTCCTAAATCTACTTGAAGGCAAATCACTGAGTGGATTTTGGCCTTTTTATGCTTGGGTTTTAATTAGCAAACAGCAGAAATTATTCAGCTGGCTGGAGATGGTTTTGCAACAGCTTTAAGAGCAAATTCTTAGCAGCCTGTGACTCTGGCTGTGTCCCTAGAGATGGGTTTATTCACTGTAGTGTTTCTGATCACTTCCTCTTGATAAGGAGGAGCAAACAGCTCTGCAGCTGTCACAGATTTCCTGAAACTGCTGAATTTTAACCCACACCTGTCTGAAAATCCTAAAATCCTCTTTGAGCAAGAGTCACTGAAATTAAGGTGTAGGCTCCATTCAGAAACTTCAGTTTTTGAAACCCATTAGATTGTTTTACACTAAATTTGCAGGGTCATTTTTCAGAAGAGAGTATGCAGCTCTCCTTGCAACCTACATGTAAGGGAAGTAGAGGAAGCCTGTTCAGAAGCATATTGATTGAATCTGAGATATTTTTATGGCTTGAAATTCAAGAGGAGCCATACAGAGAGTGGAAGCAGAGGCAGAACCTGAGAAGGGTCATAAAGGATTAGCTCGGGCTTGGGGGGAAAAATCAAAAAGGCTGAGATGTAAAATTATTTTCAATTAAAAAGGAGGATGGATAGTAACAATAATAAATGGATGATAAAGAAAAGGTGAGGGAGCAGAAAAGTGTGTTAGTTAACAGGAAAGAGGGCAAATAACACTGCAGAGAAGTCTGAAACATTCATTCAGTGCTGCCTTTGCTTCATCTTCCTGCAAAGAAAATGGGATCAGCTGTTTAGCCAGGTTAAATTTGACATCATGAGAGGACTGCAGGCTAAGGAAAGGAAACAGACAGCTACACATTAGTTTGCTTTATGGAAGCCAAGGAACAAGCTGAAGTGGTCAGTGAGGGAGCAAGGGTGTGTGAGGAAGCTGAAAACAGTACCTGCTTTCAAAGGGTGCAGGAAGGAAGAGCCTCAAAGAGATGGCACAGGCATCCTGTCACAGACCTAGGGGGGCTTTGCTGGTAACTGACAGGTAAGGTGGTTAAAAATAGCCACCCCTTGGTTGTGGCATTCTTGTCAAATCCATGTTTTGTTATTTTGTCATGATATTCGTGTCAAATCAACCCCTCCCCTGGGGATCAGGTGGTGCAGTGGAGGATGAAGCAGAAGCTGCACGTAACTTGGATTTGGGCACTGCCTCAAACTGTCTTGTGAACAAACAAAAAATTTGCTCTGGGTGTAACCCCTGCAAGGTGATGACAAAGGGTTAGAAAAGCTGCATTCAAAGAGTGGTGGCACTGGTCAAGCTGAGGAGGTGGGACAGGTGGAGCTCAGCAGGAGCCAGTTCCTGACCCAGTTCTCCTCAGCATTTCCCATAATAGCTCAGTAGGATAGAGGGTGGAATGGAGGAAGCCAGGCTGGAGGGTGATATGACTTCTGTGGAGACCAGGACCAAACTGAAAATCATGTAGATAAATAGACAGTATCATCTGAAAAGGAAAAAAATCAAGGTACACATTGTTGTAAAGAGAAACATAAACCCAGAATGGGGGATGGTGGTGAGATTTGGCAGGAAGGGATCTGGGGAATTGCAAATTAAATAAAAATTATCAATCTTGTGCTGCTCCAAAAAGGTTCAGGTCTCTTTCTGGGTTAACTAATATAAGTGCTGTATTTAAGATGGAAGCAGTTATACTGCTGTGCCAGGTGTTGCTGTTGCTTCAGTGGAAGCCTGGTGTCCAATTTAAACAATTTAAGAAAGATACAAATCATCTGAGGAAAGTCTGAGTATTGGAAATTAAATGGAACAGCTGAGAAAATTCATGTTTGGTTTAGAGAAGAGGAAGTTGAAGAAAAACAAGCTTTTCAGTAGGTAGAAGATTATTGTTATGGAGATGAGATTATGACTTTTTGTCTTTTGCCTGTGAAGAAAGGAGAAGAGGAAATCAATGTGACTTCAAGGAATTAGTCACCTCTTCTCAAAATGCTCTGCTCTGAAGGTGGCAGAGTGTTAGGACTAACCAGGGAGTGGAGTTCTCCATTCTCCCACTCTTCTGTGGAATTGATTATCTGCAACTTTTGCAACTTCTCTTGATTCACAGTGAATTTGATTAGATGTAACCTCAAATCTGAGCTGACTATTGCCCAACTAACCTATTATTAGCTCAGTTGCTTTTGGAGAGAGACCAAAAATGAATTCTAGCTCTGAGTAGCCAACAGATCAGGATCCAATGTGGTCACTTTTGGTCCACATTAAAAAGTGTGAAAAGATTGTTTCTCTGCTCTTGGATGTGGCATAGTTTAATTTTCTGAAATAAAAAAAACATTTCTAGAACACTGGGTTCCTGCTTTTGGAGGTGACTCTCCTGGAGACCTCAGTAATTGGTGGTGCTTAAAATAATGTTTTAAAATCTGTGTGTTTGCCTTCTTTCTATGCAGAACAGTTCAAGGCGACAGGCTTGCAAATCCCTGGCAGAGCTCTCTGGGCAGAGATCAATGTGCCTGGGCTTGCATTTATCAGGCAGTGCAGGTGTGTGGGACACAGTGGTGGCCTGAAATACTCCTGGGGGCAGATTTTTAATCACTTCATGAACTGGATCATAAAGCAGAGGTGCTGTGCAGAGAGCAGGACAGTTGTCTGTGCACTGGGACTGATGAAGAGGAAACGTGAGTGCAGTGTCTCCCCTGCTCCCAAATAATTGCTGTTGGACCTGCAGGGAAGGGAGTTCACTCTAAAAAAGTAGCCTTTCAAGTCAAACATGAATGTGCAAATTGAACAGCTGGACCTTTTCCTCTTCGTCCTGTCTCCTGTTCTTTTTGCAAAGGGAGAGTTTGGGAATATGACTGCAAGTGTTAATTGATTTTCTGTTGATGTTACAGGACTGCTTAAAGGAAAAGGAATTACAGCTGACACATAGGGATTCTGGCATTGCTCAGAGAAAAGTGGATTTTTCTACTGCTCCCCTAACAGGGGTCACTTATTTATATTATATAAACCTGAGGATTATTAGTTCTTGTCTGCATGGAGGAGCTTTTCTCACCTCCTTTAATTTGGGACTTTGCATCTCCCACATACCAGATCTTCCTTCCTACCAAACACACTTTGGATTGTAGCAGATCAGATGACTGGAAATAATTCCTGATGTTCAGAGGGAGGCAGCCTCTGTGTCTGCAGGAGCAGGCACACTTCAAACTAGGGCACAGGGAGAGTTTAAAACATGTATTTGGGGAGAGCACAAAAAATCTTTCCCTGTGCTTTTAAAAGACAGAGGTGGCTGGCTGTCTGTTTGTGGGAGCATTACTGCAGCCACTTATTTGATACCTGAATTAGCAGATTATAGGATCATCAAGGTTGCAAAAGACCTCTAAGATCATCAAGCCCAACCTTGGATGCTTCAAGATGCTCTTGCAGGATATTTTTCCAAGCCTCAGCGTGCCTCACGCATGGAATGAATCTTGGCAGTTGTAGCACTTCAGCCCATGAGCACAATTCCCATTTTGTGAGTGGAAAGGGAGATAGTCAGTGTTCCCTGGGGAACAAGGAGCCTGCACTGTTGGGATCCAAGTGCCGTGAGAGCACATCCATGAGAGAATCCCAAATAACCCACACTAACAGCAGCAGAGGTGCCAGGAATGGTGAATGAAGATGCTATCTGCACTTGATTTTGGCTGCAAGCAGGGCAGGGCTTTTTTTGGCCAGCACGATGCAAACGTGTGCAGTCAGGCTATTTCTGTCAGGATGATTACCTCAGGAGTTTAATTAAACTGGGAAATCTTGGCTTTTGTGCTCCAAATCCAGAAATAGCTGGGTAAAAGTTAGGGAAGGAATAATCCCAGTTGCAGTCTCTTTGGAGATCTTCAGAGGAGGTTAAAAAGTTGTACCACTGAGCAGCTGGAAGCAGTTAATAGTTTAGCAGGCTTTTCTGTTTTAAGCTGCCATAGATCTTGTTTTCCATAAATATTAATAAAGCTTTTCCTACAAGCACTCCCCAGCTCCTTTTCCAAGGGATAACATCTGCTGCTGTTCTCACAGACACAGAGGGGCTGCTGAGGATTAAAGAGGAGAACCAGAAGCATTATCGCAGGGCTCAGAGGCACCAGGAGAAGAAGGAGAAGATCCAGAGGCACAACAGGAAGCTGGGAGACCTGGTGGAGAAAAAAACCTACGACCTGAAAACGCAGTACGAGCACCTGGCGAAGCTCCGGCGCGCGCACATCCTGGAGCTGACCTCGGTCATCTTCCCCATGGAGGAGGTGAAGACAAGCATGAGGTATGGCAGCCTTGTCCTTTTGGGATCTTTTTGCTTGGCTTTAGGCACTCAGGAGGAAGTTGTGTCACTCTAAGGTAGGTGGTCTGGTTCCCTTAGGGTCTGTGGGGAGGAGGAGGAGGACTTGTGTTCTCACCCATATATAGAGGTTCAGGACAGAAGAATCTGAAGCTGGAGGTGCTTGCATCTCTCCACTGAGAGATCTGAGCTGCATGTCCAGTGTTAAACTTCCTTAAAATATGTATTCCTCATCCCTGGAAGTATTTAGAGCCAGACTGGACAGGGCTTGGAGCAGACTGGTCTAGTGAAACCCCTGTGGCAGGGGTAGAATGAGATGGTCTGTAAGGCCCTTTCCAACCCAAACCTTTCTAGGATTCTGCAAAAACGGGCAATTCAAAATCCCAGAGAAAAATGAAAGTAGTTTTGGGAATGAGAAATTTTGCAAAGGTGGTCTATAAGGTCCTTTCCAACCCAAACCATTCCTGAATTCTATAAAAACAACCAACTAAAAACCCCAGAACAAATGAAAGTAGTTTGGGGACTGAGAACTTTTGCAGGAGCATTCCTACAAGCACTTTGCCCCGAGTGAAATCTGGCTCAATGCCTGCCAAGTGCATGTTTGATTCCATTCCCAACCACTTCTTTCCACCCCATTTTGGGTCCTGCAGGGACCCTGCGGACGTGTCCTCGGAGAGTGACAATGCCATGACCTCCAGCACTGTGAGCAAGCTGGCAGAGGCACGCAGGACCACCTACCTGTCCGGGAGGTGGGTGTGTGACGACCACAACGGCGACACCAGCATCAGCATCACGGGGCCCTGGATCATCCTCCCCAACAACGGGGACTACTCTGCTTACTACAACTGGGTGGAGGAGAAGAAGACTACACAGGGACCTGGTAAGGGGCAAGGCATGGTTTTAGGCAACTGGGACACTTTGGGTGCCAGCAGAAGGCACTGAGGAGGAGTAGATTGGTCTATTTGTTCTCTGAGCCAGAGATAAATGCCAGAATAAGGATTTTAGGAGAAGATTCCCTGCTCAGTTTGAACTAGGTTGTCTTTAAGGTCCGTTCCAACCCAAAGCATTCTGTGATTTTCTTTTTTTCTGAAATCTTCTTTTTCACGAAATGCTCACTGGGATGCACAGCACAGTGAAATAGAGAAAGTTAATTATTCACAGTTTTGACACAGTTCACATGTCATCATCTTAACAGGAATTCCAAGAATTACTATTTTCTTCCAACTTCTGACAGATTTCACTGGAAATGATTGCTAGATTCAGGCTGTTCTCCGTACTTAGAAATGATATATTCCAGAGTAGACTCAAGGAACATATTAACACACCCACTGAGACTTCATTTAAAACCAGGATTTCATGTTGTTTTTATTTCTTTCAGATATGGAACATAATAACCCTGCCCATACCATCAGTGCAGCATTGTGCTATGCAACTCAGCTCGTTAACACTTTGTCTCTCATACTTGATGTAAATCTTCCCAAGAAGCTCTTCAACAGGCAAGTAAAAACACAGCAGGGGAATCAGTGACCTTAGATCAGGTTAGTTTGAGGAATAAAGTCATGGATTGCAACAGTTTTTGATAATATGGGTGGCTTGTGGATTTCTGTGCTGTTTGAGGGGAGGGCTAGCAGGATTTTAAACCACAGTTAAAAGTCCCTCCCTCCTTTTTTACTTCCTGAGAGGGAGACCACCCATCACAGTTGAAAATAACAGCTCTAAATGACATATTCAGTATCCTCAAATGAGAGATGAAATATGACAGTGCACAAGTGGCACTTTTTATTTTACTGGACCCCACTGTGTTTCACAAAATCCCAGCCCAATCCAGCAGCTCTTGAAGAGCTCTGCTGCCTCCTGTGCTGTAGGACAAGTCCTGTAACATGGATTGGCAGCAGTGTCATTCCCAGTGGGATAAAAACCCGTGGGCAGCACATCTAGGAGTAAACCCCATATGGGATGAAGAGCACTGTTAGAATTTTGGTCTGTGTGGAGCAGCTGGGATCTGCACAGAAGGAGCTGCAGACCTGGTCAGACTCTCAGGGATCCCAGATGTGCTGCTGAGATTCTTTTAAGTGTTTTAAAAGAATGGTTGTCAAAGTGAGGGCACAAAAGCTGTGCAGGGTTTCAGCTTTTTTTTCCCACCCCGTGGCTGGGGAGCTGGAACCAGATGATCTTGAAAGTCCCTTCCAGCCCAAACCATTCTGTGATTCTCTGATTTTGTTTGGGTGTTCAGCCCTCACAGAAGGAACAGGTTGAGAACAGGAAATTATACAAGGTTTTGAAGGAGGTCTGAAACAGTTTGGTTCTGGTGGATCTGAGTTCCCTACAGTTCACACCACCTGTCCTGTGGAAACTGGTGAGGCCAGGGCAAGCAGAGCTTGTTGGTAAAATGCTCATTGTCCTGCTAGGTCTAATAGTAATCTCAGCACTCTAGAACTGGCTGTAGACTTTGAACAAGTGCTCACTGTGAGGATATTTACTCCAGGATTTGTTAGGAAGCCAGGGCATGGAATGCTGATGCCTCCAGGAAGTGTATTTTCACAGCATTTTACTTTCTATGTATTTTTGTGTGTGGTGTTTTAACAGTGAATTCTGTGGAGAGAATCTCAGCAGACACAGGTTCACAAGAGCAGTGAAGAAGCTGAATGCTAATATCCTTCACCTCTGCTTCTCTCAGGTATGGGGGATGCACATTTCATATCTTTATATAGCTTTTTAAATATCAGCTGTGCCTGCTGGTTTCTTTCAGGACCTGATCATGTTTGGTTTTTTTCCCTTCCCATGTCAGCATGTAAATCTAGATCTGTTGCACCCCCTGCATACCCTCAGGAACCTCATGTACCTGGTCAGCCCAGACACCGAGAACTTGGGCAGGTAAGAAAAGCAAAATACTAACTCTCCTGTGGCTGAATCCCTTTGGAATTGATGCCTTTGCCTTGTTACTTGTGAGAGAAATTCTCTTTTGCTGTCCTATAGACCAGTCCTCAGCACAGAAGTCAGGGTAGTTCCAGGAGGAGTAAAGACTGGACAGAAAAAGGGGCTCCTGAGTAGAGAATTAATTTTCACAGACGTGTGTTTGCTGTGCTTCTGCCTCTGGCAGGCTCAGCTGGAGGCTTTGCAGCTGATGATGGACTCATTTCCCCTACACTCGGGAGCAGGAACTCCTTCCCTCCAGGGAACAGCAGCACAAATGCCAGGCAGCTTTGCCATGCTCCAAGTGTGACCCTGCCCACGCCTTGCCAACATGCAAATACCTGAGAGCATCCAGTAACACAAACCCTGAAAAGAATCCCAGGCAAACCTTTCCCAAAATAATTCTAGTCAATGAACTGCCTAGACCAAAGCTGACCCTTTAAATAATACTCATTTATATGTAAATTAAGATTAAAGACAACTATTCTCTTAGCTTAGAACATGATGAAAAGAACATCAGTTCTGGCATGCACACACAGGGTTTAATAATTTATTTCTTTTTTTACAAGTTAAATATAAGAAAGCAAACAACACTGATTTCCCCATTGGGATAACCCAGACAGAAGTCACTTGTGCCCAAGACAGTCTGCAAATATTTGTTTGATGTGCCTGGTGTTTTATTCCCCCCTTAAACACAGTGGCGTTCTGAAATCTACTTTTCTGCTTTGTTCTCTTGTACGGATCTGGTTTTATTCAAAATCCTGCAGTGCCACTAAGAGGAGCTGCCTGTTCCCACTTCCTTGTGTTCTCTGGATATATCCCTACTGATTCAGCCCACAGACATGGCGAGCCACATCTTTGTAGAAGATTTTGGACAAAAATCAGTGCTTGCTGCTGTTTGCCTGAAATAGAGTGCTGGAAATAGAGGATGGAGAGCTGTGTCCCCAAAGAAAGCAGCTGCTCTGAAGGGTGCAGGGGCTGCAGGTGTCACAGAGCTCCCCATGCATCAGCTGGGTCCAGAGAGTAAAAGAAAGGGTTACAGGAGAGTTGGATAAAATACCCACCAGGCTGCTGAATGGCTTTACAGACACCACTGGGAGCAGAGAGTCTGAGCAGGTTGAAATGAGGCACGTGCACTTAGCAGAGACATTAATTACCCACAGGAATGAAGGTGGGGATTCTGTTTCCTTCTGTCATCCTCTCAAGGCTGGATGAGTTTCTGGGATGGATGCTGTCATCAGGCAGGGGTTGCTGGGCTCAGGACAGGGAGAAGGGTGGGACGCAGAGGCCTTTGTTGGAGAGGAGGTCACTTGAGATGATCTCATGGTCCCTGCTGGCCTCAACCCTGATGACTCCTTCTTGTGTTGCCTTGTTAAGCAAAAGGCTTTGCCAGGAGGCAGCGCTCCCATTGCTTTCCACATTATGAAAGAGGAGTGTTTGCCTTTAATTTCTCAGCTGGCTGCAAAGTCTGCAACAAACAGCTTTCTTTGCTTTCCTTTAGATACTTGAGCCTGTGGTTGCCTGACAATCTCCTTTATATGCTGCTGTTTTCATATGCTTATAATTTTACCAAGCTTTAATTATCTGGATTAATATTTCCCATGATAAATTACTGCTTAAGGCTCCTTCTCCCACTAACGCTGGATAAACTCTTGCCTGTGTTAAATGGTTACTGTGTTTAATGGTGGGACTTAGTGATCTTGGGAGTCTTTTCCAAGCTAAATGATTCCATGATTCCATCAAATTCCTGCTCATGTTCACGGGGCAGCTTTGTGGCTTGGAGTGAACTCTGTCAGGGACTCTGCCTGCTGTGGGGAATCTGCCTTTTCCCTTGGAATAGAGGCAGCCCAAAGCAGTGGGATGGGGCAGGATGCAATCGCCTCTCCCACCAGGCAGTGGCAGCAGGGAACTCCGAGTCTCAGCACAGGTGGGACCCCGCAGGACCCTGGAGATGCAGCCCATGGCCCCGCTGGGGCTGTCCAGCTGAGAGGGGCCCTCAGCCCCGTCTGTCCCTGTCTGCAGGAAGGGCTCAGAGCCAGGCTCTGCTCCAGGGGCCAGCAATGGCACCAGAGGAACGAGCAGGAGCTGATGCCCACAGGTTCCACCTGAACGTGAGGAAGAACTTCCCTGTGCAGTGACTGAGCCCATGAGGGTGTGGAGTTTCCCTCACTGGGACATTCCAGAGCCATCTGGACCCAATCCTGTGCCCTGTGCTCTGGGATGACCCTGCTGCAGCAGGGAGATTGGACCAGACGAGCCACTGTGGTGACCTGAGCCACTCTGTGATTCTGTGTGGTGGGTTTGGAGTGTCTCCAGGGTCTGGCCAACCTCAGAGTGAGGAAGAGGTTGAAAAGGTGTTGCTCAGGGCAGAGTGGGAAGTCTGCACTGGTGAATTGTGCCAGACCTGTGAGTTGCAGGGTACAGCCTGACAGAGCTGAGCTCTCTTGGCTTGGCCAGGACTGGTGTTGGAAATTAAAGCTGCTCCACATCAAGCCAAGATTCCCACCAGTGGAGCCCTGAGTGATCACCAGCAGCTTTCTCTGCTCTGCGTGTGTTTCCCTATCCCTGCCAGAGCAGAATTGCTCTGCCACCGTTCTGCTCCGTGGTCTGGAACCCTGTCCCTTCCTGGGCCAAATGTTGTTTATGTCCACGGGGGTGACACCAAGTTCCCTCTGAGCTGACAGAGATGAAGGAACACTTCATCTCTGCAGTGCCCTGGCAGAGCAGGGCGCTGTGAGAGGACAGAGGGACTGATGGCACCGTGTCCTCACCCGCAGGTCCGGCCCCTTCGAAATCAGCGCCGACCTGGAGGACTCCATGGAGTTCGTGGAGCCCAGCGCGGCGGGCGAGACGGACGAGAGCGGCGACGAGCATGTGAGTGACGAGGAGACGGACCTGGGCACGGACTGGGAGAACCTGCCCAGCCCCAGGTTCTGTGACATCCCCTCGCAGCAGGTGGAGATGCTGCAGAGCCAGAGCAGCCAGGTGTCCCAGCCCATCGCCAGCAGCAGCGCGGGCGGGATGATCTCGTCCGCCGCCGCCTCCGTCACCTCCTGGTTCAAAGCCTACACCGGGCACCGCTAGCGGGCACAGGAACCCCTCCCCGACTGTGCTGTGGTCAACCTTTACCGATTCAGTTAAGTAGTGCCTGGAACAAAGGAAAGGTCAGACTTCTGTTTTGTAAACCGGAGAAAACCTTTTTATTTCCCCAAGATGACTGTGACGGCCCCTTTTGTAAATTAGCTCCGTGCTCCCGACGGATTCTGCGAGGGCACTTCACGTCTTGGTTCTGGCTGCATCCAGGATTGGCCAAGGACCCAGCAACCTCCAGCTCTACTTTCTGAAGCAGAAACAGATTTTGGAGTGTTTGGATCGGGACGAGCGCAGGGAAGGCTGCTCAGGACACGGTCTGGACAGTGGTGCAAATGCAGTTCCCACTTTCTTAACTCCTTACAGGGTTTTCCTTTGTGTGTGTGTGTGTTTTAAATCTGTCTTGCATAATGCAAAAATGCGTATTTCTAAATTTTTTTCATTCAGGACATGAAAATTATGCATTTTTAACATGTTTTCTAATCTCTGTTGCCATATTTTTAATACAAATGATCAGCATGGACAGGGAATTCACACAGCAAATTGTTCTTGGTTTAGATTTGGTTGTGAATCTTTACCCGGTTTTGCCATAGCAAACTGGCTTGTTTCATGCTGTTTCCATTGGTAGATGTAGAAGTTTTGTGTTGTGCTGAGGCACACAGGCTCTGTACTCTTTATACCATACACCAAAGAAACACTGGACATTCTCTTTCTAGACCCACATTCGATGCTGATACAGAATTGCATTGTTGCAATAATATCCATCGGTTACCACACCATGTTGCCACTTTTTAGCATTAGAAAAAACCCCATTTCAAGCCAGTTTGGTGAAGTCACACACCCTCCACACTACATGTGTTTTTAACCCTATTTTATTGTATGTTTGTGGTGGGGTTTGTTGTTTACTGACTGCCAAGAAGTTGGTTTGGTTCCCCTGGCACAGCTGGCTCGTGGAACCCCGAGAGGTGGGTGCTGAATTGGTGAGCAAGGGCTCCTCCTCTTCCTCTGCCTTGCAGGGTGGGACACCCACGAGTGGTTCGCTCAGCAGAGCTTCCAACGTTTACATTTAGAGCTGGGACAGTTCCCCCACAGGGCCAGCCAAGGGAAGAGCCTCCACCAGGGAGGATTTCTGCCACTGCCCCGCAGCTCCTAACGAGGACGTGGTGCCAGAGGCCACATCCCTGCCCGATCCCAGCTCCAGGCTGGCTTTCCCAGCCACCTCACAGGGTGTTTTGTGGTGGATTTCTCTCTCCCTCTCCAGCCTGGCCAGTGCTGCCCCTGTCCCCACCCAGGAGGGGTGGGAAGCCAGGTGTGGCAGTGACACCTGTGTGCCACCCACCTTTCCACAGCAGCTGCTTCTCTTTAGCCCTGAGCTGGGCATCTGTTGCCAGTAGTTTCTTCTAATTTTTCTTTTTCTTTTATTTTTTTTTTAAACCAAAGACCCTTAACTCCGCGCGAGCACCGCGCACGTCGTCAGCCAGCGTTGCCAGCCTCGCTCCTCTGCTCCTCTGCTCCAAGAGCTGGGTTTGTTCCAGGAGAACAGCCCAGGCCCCTGGGCTGCTGCAGCCTGGTGGGGGCCAGTGCCCCCAGCCCCGCTGCCAGCCTGAGCCCCCGGCTCTGGGCTCTGTTGGCTCACAGCACTTTATCACTCACAGCTCTGAGCAACCAGCACACGCCAGTATTGGAAACTGGGCTCACAGCCCAGCCCCTTCTGCTTCCCCGTGGATTTTGCACTGGACCCTGCCATCTAAATACCTTTTTTTTGTTGTTTTTTCATAGGCATTTCAGTCCCTTTTTCGTTGCTGCCTTTGTGCTTTGAGCCCCTGAAGGTCAGGCCATGACTCAGCTTCGTGCACTGTCACTGAACTTAGGGAAGGAAAATCCAACACAATAACTTTTCTAAGCCATATACTTCCTATCCATGTTTTCCAAAATAATTTATTTGCAAGCGTGTCATACTCTGAGAGTACACAAGGGCACCGTGAGGGTGTTCAAATGTGTTGGGGTGGGGCTTTTCATGGAATCTTTTTTTGTAACAGAACACAAGGTTGTGGTGGTTTTTTTTAAGTGTTTTGCACATGTGTAGCTGAGGAAAAATTGTGTGTGTCCAAACCTTGAGTGCAATCACCAGGATTTGTTTCCCAGGTTATTTGGGGGGGATGAGGGAGGGAGGGCAGGAATATCCATAATTATAAATATTTCAAGGCAGCCAGCTGAGAGTTTACAAAACTTTTTGTGTAGCATGAACACAGGAATTTCACTTCAGGCCGGAATTGTGGTCACGAGCAAGCAGTGACCTGGGGTGGCCAATTTGGGCTGCCAAGGACGAGCCTGATTTCGGGGGCCCAGCCCTGTGCCGAAAATCAGGTGCCTGTGCAGGGTCTCGGGTGGGACACCCGGGGTGGCTTTTTCACCTGGGGAAACTCACGGCCCCTCTCTCGCAACTTCCGGACTTAAGATGTAACTAAACACAAATGGTTTGGTTTTTTTCGTTGTTTTTGTTTTGTTTTTTTTTTTCCTTCTAAATTTTATTGTATTATTGCAATAAATCTTTAACAGTAATTTTTTTTTAAAGTTGTATATTTATGACTGTTACTTCGGTGTGGTTTGTTTTTCACCGTGCTGGGCAAAGTACACAAGAATTTCCAGCCTTCAAAGCATCACAGGGACCAGACCTGTTACAGTGCAATCAGTCATACAGCGGTGGAATAAGCAATACCCATTCTAAAAAAATACTCTTACATAAAATAACTGCATCTCCATGGGAGCAGGGGGTGGAGTCCTGCACAGCACACACACACACACACACACACACACACACACACACACACACACACACACCCCTCTGTGTACATGTAAACTGATAAACCTCCTGGGTGTGCCTGGCTCGGGGCTGCTCCCGTGCTGGGGATGTTTCTGTAGGTGGTGGATTCCTCCTGCATGCAAAGGCTCTTCGTTAAAAGCTCATTTCAGGATGCAGGAAGGTGTCTTTTGAAGGATGGAGTTATTCAAGTGAAGCAGTGTCAGAGGGACAGGTATGGGAAAGGGCCAAGCAGGCTCTGCCCTGGTGGCCTGGCAGCCTGTGGCTCAGAGGCTGCTGGACAGTGGAGGAGAAACAACCCCTCTCACTCCATTTTTTGTGACATAGCAGATGGGGAGGGCTGAAGGCCCTGTGATTCCTGGCTGCTGGACACTCAGGAGTGGGAGCAGCAGCCAGCTGGGGCTCTGCACACTGAGCTGGGCACGTCATGGCCTCGGTCCCAGCACAGTCAGCTCATGGCCAGGGGCAAAGCCAAGTGTGGGCCCGAGCTCACTCGTGCACACAATGCTCAGGCCACTTCTGCTTCAGCAGGACCAGCAGCTTTTGTCCTCTGCTCACTCTGGTTTGTGGCAGGAGAGCAGCTGATAATGCTGTCCCCACAGCAGGACTGCCTGGACCAGCCAAAGGCAGGTGGGAAGGGGAAACAGCCCTAGGTGAGGCTTCAGCTCCATTTCCACCACACAAGAAGTGGCAGTCGAGCCTCAGGTTGGATCTGTCAGTGCAGTTTTGTACAGGTGTGAAATCCTAGAATGGTCTGGGTTGGAAGAGACCTTAAAGATCACCTCGTTCTACCTCCTGCCATGGGCAGGGACACCTTCCACTATCCCAGTGTGCTCCAAGCCCTGTCCAGCCTGGCCTTGGACACTTCCATGGATCCAGGGGCAGCCACAGCTTCTCTGGGCACCTGTGCCAGGGCCTCACCACCTTCACAATGAAGAATTTTTTTCCCAGTCTCCCATCCATCCCTGCCCTCTGGCAGTGGGAGCCATTCCCTGTGTCCTGTTCCTCCATCCCTTGTCCCCAGTCCCTCTCCAGCTCTTCTGGAGCCCCTTTAGGCCCTGCCAGGGGCTCTGAGCTCTCCCTGGAGATGAATATTCCCAGCTCTCCCAGCCTGGCTCCAGAGCAGAGGGGCTCCAGCCCTGGGAGCTTTCCCGTGGCCTTCCCAGCAGCTCCAGGGGCTGGCAGTGCAGGGAGGGCCCTGGGTCCAACACAAGGAACTCGGCTCTGCTGCAGCATCCCAGGATTTCTGCACAGGGAACAGGGCCCAGCAAAGGGGAAATCTGCTGCAGAAACAGCCAGGATGGAGCACGAGCCCAAGCACAAGGCCCAGCCACAGGCAGCTTTCTCAGTGCTGCTGTCCATGCCAGGAGAGCCCCAGAGCTTGATGAAAACTGGAACTTTATGGACAATGGAAATGTTATTACAACTTCTTCACAGGCCTATCTGGAAATTCAGTCCAGACACTCCAAATGCTCCCAGGCAGGGAAATCAAGCACATGGTACAGTCCTTCATCCTCAGTTCTAAACATTGAACTTTGTAAATCCAACACTGGATTTTATTTTTTTTTTTTTAACAATTGCTTCTTAGGAAAAAGAAACCCAAACCCTAACATTCATCAGACCTTGGCCTCTCCCTGAACCATCCCTTAAGGAAACAGAAATCTGCATTTTACAATGTTACAGGAAAAAAAAACCTGCAGGCAGCTCAGCGTGGCAACACTCAGAACCAACCCACTTCTGGATGCAAAAGCTTGCTCTGTGGAACAATTTTTAACAGCAATGCTGTGCAGGAGGGACAGTTCCAGCAGACAATGTACTAAATGATGTATAAACCAGCCCACGCTCCCCAGCCAGCCTGGGGGGAGGGCAGGGATGGGGTAGGGGAGACAGCAAGTTGTCCTCTGGCTTTACCTGCTCCAAGAACAAAATAGCCTCATGATATTATTTTATCCTCATTTTTCCCCTTGTTCAACAAAAGTGACCAAAATCTCATACCCTGTTCCAAATAAAATGACCTCACTGGCCCCTTATCTAATTACAAAATATTTTCCTCTGCCACTCCATTCCAGCCTCGCAGGGACTTTCCTCGCTGCTGTCAGCCTCAAGTTTTCCAGTCTTGGGTGGGGGGGCAGGAAAGCAGGTTCTTTCCCTTTTCCCCTAATCAGAATTAAGCTGAAGGCTTTTGATGCCAATGGCTTTGGCAAAACAACAGCCTGGAGGTTGTTTTCCTGCTGGTCCAGGCACAGCCAAGGGAGCAGATGGAAGTTTGGGTTAAGGCTGAGCCCCGTTAGGGGATGAAGTCAGGGGTTAAGGAGGGATCCTGCTTTTCCTCTCCCTCTTCCCAGCTGGTTACAAGGCAGCCACACCCTTCTTTTAGATTCCTAATTTCATTCCTCCTGGTTGTCATCATGTCTGCAGCGCAGGGAGGCTGAGCAGCTCCAGGAGGGGTGGATGACACCCAGTGGGTGGCAGGAGCAGGTGAAAGCAAAACATAAAACCAGCACATCCTTTAAACTTCCCTGAAAAGCCTGAGCTCACCAAACCCACATTTCAGGCTGTCAGGACTTGATTTTCCTTCTCCCACTGTTAAAGGAAAGAACAAAAGCCTTCAAACCCTTTTGTCCTGCTCATGCTCTGAAATCAGGTGCGTCACTCCCTGCGAGCCCAGGGAGGTGGAGGTGGGTGGCTCAGCCTGGCCCCCACAGCCAGCAGTTTTCCACACCTTGCTGATCCAGCACCGAAGGACAGAAGAGGATGAGCCAGGTGCAGGGACACCCCATCCCTGCCCTTTCCAGCAGCTCCTTGGGATTGGCAGGGCAGAGGAAGGCCTGGGGTGAGCCCCATGGGAAGGTGGCACCAGCTCTTCTTGTACCAGCTCAGAGATTTGGAATGGTGAGAGTCAGGAGTCCATCCATGCCCTGAGAAGGAGCAGAGGAACAGCAACAGCACCAGGTGTGGGGAGAGAAGGGACGGGCAGGGCAGAGGCACGGCTGCCACGCTCTGCTGGGCTCCCTGGAACACGGCTGCTGCACTGGCCAGGGTCCATTCCCAGGCTTCCAAAGCATCCACCCTGCGAGGGCTGGAACAGGAGGCTGAGGTCTGGCTCCCAGCACTGCAGGACAGGAAAGGATCCAGGGAAATTCTGCCATCCTGTTCTGAGCGTGAGGAATCTCCGTTCATCCGGCACAAACCTCTGCAGTTCCCCTGGAAAGCACCGACCCACGGCCCTGGGAGAGGCCAGGGGCTGCAGCAGAGCAAAGCACTGCAAGGAGTCTTCTTGCAAGGGAAAAATTCCACACAGAGCAGATAGGAAAGCTTCCAGCACATCACAGAGCCAAAGCAACTCCACACCATCCTGCTGGATCCATGCTCCATCCTCGAGCAGCCAGGGAATAGGGCAGGTGCCCACACAAGAGCCAAGGAGCAGGAGGACCAGAAAGTGCCTGGTTCTTGCAAGCTTTGCACACCTAGCACCAGAATCCCCGATGAAAGGAGCCTGTGCTGCACACAGGGCTGGCAGGAAGGAAAGGAAAAGCTGGAATCTTACAGCAGGGAGTTCTCCAAGTACTAGAGATTTGGGGGGTTTTTGTTCCTTTGTTAGTAGGAGGACAGGTTTCCTAGAGAAAGCACATTGCATGTCTGAACTACAGCACAGCACCACGTTTCTGCCACGTGTTTTACAGCACTTTTATTTTGGGGCAAAAGTCTTACAAGAGAAAGTCTGGTAAGGCAGATCTAGAATGCACATTTTATTGATGTAAAAAAAAAACCCAACCAGACAACATGGGTAAGGTAGACAAGAACTTTTTTTATATTCTGACTATACAATAATATTCCTCTTTTTCTTTTTTAATCCACTGCCACGCTACTATAATGGATCTGTTCTATAGTCTAAGTTTCAGGTTGTCCAGTTAAGTTGTCTGCAGCTTCTTTAAACAAGTTGACCTTTACCTATTTAGAGTTTCTTCTCAGAAACATTCATATATTATACAGGATATACAGATTTTGAAACAAGACACTTAAAAACACACACACACCTATAGCCGCAACACTGGGATAGCTGCATTGTAGGGGTTACCTTGTTCAGCCAGCTGTAGACTCTGTATGTACAATTAGTTTTTATAGTGTTATTTACAGAGATGGACTAAAAGCTCTCTTTTAATCTAAAAGGTAAAGGCTCTTGTGTTCGAATATGTGCAGTTTCATAGCCCTGTGGAAAAAACAAAAAAAAATCACGACAATTATATACACTGTAAACAGCACAAGGCATGAGAATCTCCTCCTCCTCCTCCTCCTCTCCCAAACAATCTTGCAGGAAAAGTGTTTGTGCACTAATATTCCTCTTCCACCTCTGCTCCCGCTCCTCGGGTTTTCTTGTGGATGGCGCGGTTAAAGCTGTGGCAGGCAGGGACCCAGTGATTGTCGTGGAGACCCAGCTTGCAGCCCGGGATGCCCTTCTGGGAGCGGTGACAGCACATCCAGTAGCCAGGCCCGTAGGGCAGGGCCTGGCAGTAGGGCTTGGGGTGCCACCGGCACAGGGACACGTCCCCCTTCACGTATTTCTTCTTGCACTGCTTGCAAGGGTCTTCCCGGTAGCGAGGGTCGCGCACCCAGCGCGAGTCCGCCGGCCTGATGTTGTAGTACTCAATGATGAATTTGAAGTAGTAGCAAGTGCATTTTAGGGCAACCAGGCTCCTGGTGGGAAGCAACCCGAAGATCTTCACGATGATGTGGTGAGGCAAGAAGGCCATGTACTGCTGAGGCTCCAAAAGCTGCTGGATTTTAAACCTGGTCTCCAGAAAGTCATGTGAAACCTGCCGCTTTAGGCAGGAGGCGTCAAGTACTTGCAAAGCCCCTTCTGCGGGAGGGACAGAAGGGGCTGATGGCTCCGTAGGGACACTGCTTCTGACACACAATCTACCAGATGCCAGAGCAGCCTCATCCTCGTTTTGGGCTAACTCCTCTGGCTTCTCCTGGGTACCCTCCCGCTGTGGCTGTTGCTCCTGAGCAGCAGGCTGCTCACCCTGGAGGAAAAACAGCCTCCCTGGGAGTGACTCCTCACCAGAACTGGAGAGCTTCTCCTTCCTGCACCCTTCCTCTGTCTTGGTGACCGATATACTGATGCACAAGGGCTCCTTCCTAGCAGGATGCTTTGGGAAGATTACAGGCTCTTTTGATGTACAATCAACAGTCGTGTTCTTGCCCTGCAAGGGATCCGGTGGCAGCCTGGCAGCAGTGGGACACGGGGACAGCAGAGCCCTGGGAGGCTCAATCCGTGTTTCAGTGTCATTCCTGCCAGCCGTCATCGCCAACACCGCGTGGGCAAGTCCCGAATTCACATTCCCCACCCGGGTATCCAGCCCCGAAGGAAACGGCTGCTGGGCAGAGGCGCCGCCATCCCACAGCTCGGTGTCACCCAGAGGGTCGCAGCGACCCCCGTACCCCGCCTCCGCCACCCCTGCCTCCCCCAGGCCGTGCCCCTGAGCCGGGACCCCCTTCCCCACCTCTCCCTCGGGCTGGGTGCCGCTGGCCAGGAGCACCCTGCCCACGTTCCTGCGGAAGCTGTTGTTGCGGGAGAGGCTCCCGGCCTCCCGCTGCTCGCTCTGCCGCCTCAGGCACTCGGACTCCAGCCTGGCCACCATGTCCAGCACGCGCACGGGCTCGCCCTGCGGCTCCGCCGGCGCCTCGCACGCCCCGGCCGGCGAGAAGGGCTCGGAGCCGGGCGGGGCGGCCTTGGGCTGGGCGCTCAGCCTGGCGGCCGGGGCGGCCGTGCAGGTCTTGGCACAGTCCACCAGCAGGGCGCTGGCCCGCTGCTCCAGGAAAGCCACCATCTCGATGACCGACAGCGAGCGGCCCGGGAACGCGCCCTCGCCGCCGTCGCTCCCGAAGTGCACCGAGCAGTGCTCGATGCCGCAGGCGAACGGCTCCGGCTGGGAGCACCTGGCGTTGGCCTCCCTCATCCTTTCCAGTTGGATTTTGGCTTTTTTAAGATCCACCGATTTTTTCCTGCGTTTGGCCGTTCTCCCGTCGATGTCCCACGTGCTCTTGATTTTCATGGAGCCCGTGCGGGTGCCGCCGCTGCACTGCTGGGCTGCGAAGAAGGCGATTTTCTCCTTGGTGTTGCCAGGTTTCACCACAGCCCAGACATCCAGCGGCCCTTCCCCTTCTTCTCCCTGGTGGATCGTGGCGGACGGGGAGTTCTTCTTTTCTCTTGCACTTGGAGCGTCCGCCGGGCCTTTCCCGTTCATATTGCACATAGTATTTGGATAAATAATCCCCAGGAACTTTTGAGATGGAGTCACGAGGGAGGGTTTTGGGAAAACGCTCAGTTTGGTGCAGTTGGTGTATTTTTCTCCTTGTGCTGGTCCCTGGTGGCCTCGCAGGGAATCCTGGCTTATTTCTGGGGATCGCTCTTTCTTCTGTAACTTGAGATATGGCTTTAAGTGCATACCAGAAACCCTGGAAAAACAGAGAGGGAAGAAGTTATAGCTGCAAAATATGCCTGTCTGGAAATAGAGAAGGTGGCCCAGAGCAGGCACCAGCCCACACCTCAAGAGGAACCACATGAGAAAGGAAAAGAGCCACCAAGGCTGCAATATCCACCCTTGAAGAACTTCCTGCAGTAGGAGAGAACTTCCCAGTAGAGAAATCTGTTTCCGGCAGTTGCAAGGAGAAATTCTACGGTTTAAGTTGTATCAGTTGTGAAAACAAAGGCAGTGGTTCATTCTTGAGCTAGAGCCATCCTTCTGCCCGTGCATTCCTTAATCCAGTTGCAAGGCACACATGGGTCACAGGCTTTATCTGGACATCAGCTACCACACACACTCTTTTCAGTAGATAAAATGTGGTTAAAGCTCAAAAGGGAAATTAGCAAGAGTAATTATATTAATCAGAGATTCCAGGGGATATCTAATCTCCTACTATCACCCAAAATCACACAGTGGTTTGGGCTGGAAGGGACCTTAAAGCCCATTTTGTTCCACTTCCTTCCATGGGCTTTCACTATCTCGGGTTGCTCCAAGTCCCATCCGACTCATCCTTGGACACTTCCAGGGATGAAGCAGCCACAGCTTCCCTGGGCAACAAACCTTTCCTTTAGCCTATTGATAATGGCAAATTTGGTGACTTTCCCATAAGGGTCCTTATGTTATACATTAATGCCCCCCACAAAGTGACAGCAGCATGACATCCAGCTGAGGACACCATTCTCAAGGATGGGATTTTACACTCAGGAATTCCAGAGCTGGGAAGAACCCCTTGGATGCTGCTGATACTGCAGCAGCAGTTCCAGACTCCTCTGTTCTGCCACAGAACCTCCACAGTCACCTTGCATTCAAAGCTCAGGAACGCCAGAGCCCGGGGCACTCCAGAGAGGATGCAACCACCAGGAGACTCCAGGCTCTTCTCCCAGGAGTATCACACAAGCACATTACAGAACTAACTACAGGTTATGTTTCCATGGTAATCTTTGAGTTGTTGCATTCAAAGGCCTCCACTTCAGGGATGGTCTGTGCTCGAGAGCTGAAGAGCAGCAGGTTCAATGCCACGTTCATCATGAGCTGACACAGACACACTCACAGAACACTGAACATGTTCCCCTTGAGAACCAACACCAAGAGAGTTGTTTAAGTGTGGCAACTTCATAAGTTTCTAGCCTAAAAACAGCTTTGAACTAAAAATCTCAATTTGATGGTCTATAATATAGTCCAACAGATTTGTAAGTGATGCTGCCCAGCAGAGGAAGCCTTCAGGACTAGAAGTAGCTGTGCTGCTTTCTCTGGTTCCTCCTTTGGCTCTAGTGACAAGGGAGGGCAGGCACAGAGATTTTGGGGAGGTACATCAAGAGGAAAGGCTTAGTTCACCTTTCTACACCTCACTGGTCAAAGCAGGGCTTTGAAGGCCAGGAAGCAGCTGATGGAAAGGTGGATGTCATGTTCCTTCCCTCTGGATTTTTTAGGGAGACCATCACCTGGGCTCTTGCAATCAGATAATGCCAAAACCACCTGCATCTCACCTAGAGACAGTGGGGTAAGAGATCCCAGTGCTGCAGACACACCCACCCAGCCCCTGGGTTAATTCTCTCCCTGTGCCTCCTCTGTGCCAATTCCAGCTTGTTGGAATTGGGTCACCTCCCAGTTTAGTCTCCTCTGCAAAATGCAACTGAGCTCCTTTGTTTGCCTCCTCAGTCGGATGCTAAAAACTAAAATAATCTCATAAAAATAGAACTTTGGGGCGTTGAAATAGATGCATGGAGAGAAGAATGGGAAATCAGGGCTGCTGGAGCTTGCTGTGGCCTCATTTTTCACAGGGGCTGCCTCACTCTTGTTGTACTTCACAGTGAAGCAGGGTCAGGCCACTGAGGTGGGCAGAAGAGCAGCAGGTGAAGCACTGCAGGAAACTGCTGCAGAGGACAGTGCCTGCAGCCTTCCCCTCCCTTCCCTTCCAGAAGGACATTTCCCAGACTAGGGAGAGAAAGGCTCCAGTGGCTGCTCACCACTGTACCCTGGGGAGAAGAGGTGAATACAATTAAAACACGACTTTGCATGCTGAAATCTCCTGTGCCAGGAGCAGAAGATCAAATTTCATTCATGAGTTTTGTGCCAAGGTGTTTGAAAGATGAGCTGAGCTTGTTTTGAAAAGGCTTTCTTCAAGCAGTTTTCAGGAATCCAGCAGGACAATCAGCTCAACACCCTTCATTAAGAGAAGCTGCAAATGGAGGTGAGACCAGGTATTACATGAATAAAACCAGAACCAAACTGGTTACCCCAACAGGCTCAGAGGACACGTTCAGCCAGCAGAGTTGGTTCAGCTGCTCCCAACTATCTCTGGTCTATGGAGAAAGACAAAGGGTAAAGTTCTGCCTCACCTACTACAGATTTCTTGTTTAAGGTTATATTTCCTATGTTTCAGTTAGTCCCTGGCTAAGCCAACGATACCATTTAAGGTTGAAAAGTTATAGTTTACATAACAAAATTATGCCTTAGTCAGAAGTTTTACTGCCAGAATAATTGCCTCATTTGAATTCAGCATTCAGTTCATTGCACATGTTTTAATGGATCCAGATTTATAGAAAACCTTCATCTAATAACTTCAGACAGCTATAAAGAGCTCTGCAAACTCCACAAGACCAGCTGCCACCTGCCTCAGAGCTTTCCAGCAGCAGGGAAGAGAACTTTCATTTTAAAAGCCATCTTAGCAATGGGCCTTACCTGAAAGTGTCACTTGGAAAAAAACGAGCCCCCACCTCACACGCCCTTTGCTGTGGACATAGAGAATGAACTTTTAGGCATCCACAGCCTCTTCCCTGCACATCAGCAGCACATTTCATCTCTAGCCCCTACAATTAGAACAAGGCTTGCCAGCAGAAATTGCTTTGAAGATGAACCAGAGCCCAGTCCCCACCCACAGACTCCCGTTGCTCAGCACTGGCAAGCAGAGAGCTGTGGCAGCTGCAGGTAAGCTTTTAAATATTTAAAACCACCAAAAATAGTTGTTAAAAGGTGAAGTCACATATTCCCTATGACACTTCATTCCAGAATAATTCTGTTTGCTTTCCTCCACCCTTTAAGTTATCAAGCTCTCTAATTTTATCTTTAGAGACAACGACTCTTCAGAAGTCCACGGGAGCAAACATAAAAGGTTTTCAATCACAAATGTGTGGTTTTAAATTGCTGATAAGAGAGAATTCTGCCAGGAATGATCAGCATTGAAACAACGAGCAGTGCTGCCTTTATACTGTTATTCCATCCTTAAGCTGATGAAATAAAGGGGCCAGTTTTTCTATTTCTAATCAGCCGTGTCTGAAAAACAGGATATTTGCACTGCTGGAATGAGACTGCTGTTTTTGCAAGTTGTAACTACAGCTTGTTTCCACTGCAGTTTTATCAAGCTGGCTACTACACATTGTTGATACAGAAATATATTCCTTTATATGAGCTCAGACAATCACACACCCCCCCTCTCCCCAACCAAGGGAAGACCCCAAACCCATTGGTGGACTCCCCATTGTCCAAATCCAGGCTGGATGGGGTTTGGAGCAACCTGGTCTAGTGGGAGGTGTCCCTGCCTATGGCAATGGGTTGGAATGAGATGGCCTTTAAGGTCTTTTCCAACCTAAATCATTCTATGATTCTACTTGCCAAGCTGGCCAGGATCTTCCAGCATCCTTTTCTGTTTATGTATGTTCTAAATCACAGCAGCCTAAAACAATAATATATTTGCTTTAGTGGAAACTCCAGAGTTGGAGGCAGTTGTTAGAAAATACTCAGTTTTCACAACTCCTTTGCAAGGTCCACAGAGAGCCTTAATTCCCCTTGCAGCTCCCAGCTCAGGGACTCTGATGATGCCCTGTGAAGCCAAAAGATTTCCTCTGGCCAGCAAGAGCAACAAGGACAAAAAAGCCTAATCTTTACAAACAGCATATTCACATTGCAAGTTTTCTGGACAAAGCACCGGAAGGTTTTATTAGGGGGAAAATTTCCATCAAAACCCCCAAGTTTCCTATGGATTTCTCCTTGTAAACACCAATTCCAGTCGACAAAAGCTGCTCACGTTGCTGACTGCACACCCAGTGCCAACTACAACTCTGAAAAACCCCTCAGGACATACTAACACAAGGCAGAAGCCAAAAAAAAAAAAAAAAAAAAAAAAAAAAAAAAAAAAAAAAAAAAAAAAAAAAAAAAAAAAAAAAAAAAAAAAAAAAGGAGGAAAAATAATCAGCAACAATAAAAACCCCACACCTCTGGCAAAGCATTCCTCTTCCCTGGAATCCCAGTTCTCTGTCCATAGAGTTTTCCTCCTCCATAAAGGACACTGACAATTAGCAAGGACTAAGCACTGAGTGGGAGTTAACCACAGTCAACCACTTGTTATTTCTGGAAGGGCTTGGTGGGTCCTTTGGGCTCCATCTCCACTACCATTTCCATCCCCTTTGCACTGCCAGGGCAAGGCAAAGCAGACAGAGAGCTGCTTCAAAGGCATTCCATGGATTCTGCCGGGGAAAGTCCCAGGATGGACGGCGCTCTGCACTCATGGAGTTTGTTCTGGAGCATGGCAAAGGTCCAAGCTCATAGAAAGGATGGCTGGGAAGCTCCAGAGCAGGGGTGGGTTTGACTCTGGCAGCTCTGGAAGCATCTGATTTCCTGAAAACCCACTCCCTTTGGAGCAGCAACTGCTCCTGACCCACCTCCCAACACCTCCAAAATGCTTCTTGCAGCAAAGGGAGAGCCAGCAAGGATTAGAGAGGGATTTGAAGGCAAACAGAAGGCATGTGGCTGCTGAAGGAGAGCTCTCTGCTCCACTGGCCAGCCTGGGGCAAGTGGAAGAATGCCAAAACTGTGGGGCAGAGCTGGCCCAGCAGAGCTGAGGAGCTAAATGCACTGTGTAAGAAGCAAACTCCTAAGGCTGGGTCCCTCCCCAGCTTGTTCACCTGCATCAGGTGGCTCAGATAACCTGATTTTGGGGGAGACAACACCCAAATACAGCTGCACCCAGCACAGCCAGAAAATCCATCCCACAAAGCCCAGCATCTGCAGCACAGAGCTTTTGGGTGACAGAATGCACCCTCAAGCTCAACACAGACCACTCCACCTTGAGGGCTCCCACCCACCAATGTTTTGAAGATGTTTTACACTAAACACACACCCACCCTTCAGTAGAGGCACAGTTGCCTTGGCTACCTCCTAAATTTTGTACAGGAAGAAGTGCCACAGCTTTGCCAAGCTTTTGTATAAAAGCACTCACCATGAAGGGAGAGATGGAGCAGCAATTCTGTGCTGAGGCTCAGGAAGCTCAAAGCCCTGATTCCCAGCCACACCAGACATGAGACAAGAGATGACAAAGCAGAAGGGAACAAAATAAACTGAAGGATTTGGAATTCAAGGTTATCAGCTGCTCCAGAAATGTGTGGCTCAGAGATGATTGGATGGCACATGTGGCTGTGGTGGGACAGGACGATGGGAAATCACAGAGGGACAGCACAACAAAACCTGTTGGCTTTATTTGGCTTCTACTGAAAGCTGCCCAGAGCACCACAGGTAAGTGACAAGTGTCCTTCTGGAAGTGTTTTACATTTATTAATTTGTTTCCTGATTTATAAAGTGGAAGAGGACCTTTTGTTCATATCACAGTGCAACAAATTCTTTGTGCTAACGAACCAACACAGAGTGGTGCTATTTATAGCCTTCATTTTTGTGCATGTGTAATGAGAACATGAAAGGTTGCAGAAATTAACCTTGGACCACACGATCAGAAACAGACTCAGCATTCAAAACAAAAACAAGCAAAAGTAGAGCTGAAGTCAAGTTATCAAGTTGTCTTTTTGAAACTCAAGACTAAAAGAAACTGGTTCATGAATTCAGCTGTGCTGGGGAGGATTTCACTGCGCACTGCATCCTCCAGGAGTCAGAAGGTGTTTTCATTATTAAGAACACATCCCAAACAAAAGATTCAAAGCAGCTCCAACTGGATGTGTTCCTTGTGTGTGAAAGATACCATAAGCAGACACAAGTTTCAGGCCACATCACTTGGAAACCTCTATCCTAGAGACCAAAATGTCCAGGAATAAACATGGGAACTGGAGCACTGTTAAGTCACTGCAGAGATATTTAACAACATAGAAATAGTGAAAGGTTTTTTTTCAGTTTGTGAGAGAAAAGAGAAACAGGGTTGCAAGCAAGGGCAGGGCAGAGATCAAGAGTACAACACAAAATACCAAATTTGACTTTGCACCATTTTTAAAGAGGGGAGGTAGGGGTGATGATGAGGGCAAAAGCCCAGGCGTTAATCTGAACAAGAGCATTGGCAGGAGGAGGATTAGAGAGGTTCATAAAAATTGTGAGGATTGGCTCATCCCAGTTTTAGAATCCAAACCAGATAGGCTCATGCACTGCAGGCCAAGAAACAGGATTTATAAACCTCTTGAAAGGCAACAATAGGAGATAATAAACATGTGGCACATTGGAGGGGGCACTGCAGGGGAGAAAGAGAAGGAGAATGATCACAGCCTCTCCAGGGCTCATATTCTGACTCCAATATAAAGGTGCTTTGCAAGCAAAGAGGATTAATGGGACACAGAAAAAGGGGGAAGAGGGAATAATTCAATATGCCAGACTAACCTCAAGGTTCTCAAATAAAAGCCATCTTTTTAGACCAATCTACTATATCTTCCTCACATGGACTTCAGAGAGCACAAAGAGATTTACTGGTTAAGACAGATTGGCAGAGGAATGGGAAAACAGACAAAGGAGCTGGCTTAGCAGCAGACAGCCCCAGGTGATGCTGAATAAGAAAATACCAGCCTGGAAACCAAAGACATGCCTCAAGAATCAGCCCTGGGAACATCTGACTTTGTTAGGAATGACCTCAGCACTAATTCTGCACCCAGAGAAACAGAGGCAGTTCCAAAACAGCAGAGGCACAAAGCCCCAAGTAACAGAAACTGAGGAGGCTTTTGAAATGCAGGCAGTGATGCATCAGCAAGAGGAACACCAACAAATTTTGGAAGTAACTGAGGTGAACTGGCCACCACAGAGACATCCATGAAATAAGAAGTGGAAGTGATGCTGTAAAAAGCCCTCCAGCCAGAGCAGCTCCAGAGCAGAGCACGCACTTTTAGCCAGGACTGAGAATATTCTAAGGGGCATCACACAGAGAACAGCAGCAATTGCTACTCAAGAAGCTTCTAGAGAACACTTGGGTCACTTAGCAAAACCACTGGTGAGGGCTATAACCCCCTCTTACAGAATGCAGAAGAGGTAAACCACTGAAAATAAGCAGCGGTCCTGAGGCAGAAGGAAAATAAAGGAACAGAAACTCAAATGAGTCCATAAACTATCATGAATGTTCAGCCTGGGAATGAAAAGACGGTTCCTAATTGCACAGCAAGATCTGTCATCTTCAGTAATGGCTTGATCTACAGGAGGAGAGAAGAAAAGATGCAAGAAAAGATGTAAATGTTTTTAGGCTGAACTAAGTTCACAAAAGGGATTATGAGATCCTGCTTGGGAAAGCAAGGAGCTGGGTGACCCAGGAAGTCTTTTCCAGCACTAAATTACCATGAGATTAACATAGCAAGTATATGCTGTCTACACAACCACAAAGAACAAAGGTTAAAAGTTTGCTTTAAACCCACACAGCCTTTGGAAACCAAAAAGCTGGCGCTCTTCCTCCAGACTGAGGAAGTTTAAGAGCCTTGGTTTCAGAAAAAGAATTTTAAAAAAAATACACATTTATTTTGAAGTAGTTTGAACTCCAACAAACTGGCATGTCCTTGCATTTGCATGAGGACAAGTTGTTCTGCATAGTGTTCCTATAAGGAGACACAGGGAGAGGCATTCACTTAATTGTCACATAAGCACAAGTGTTTGAAATCAATCGTGCATTTCTCCTTAATAAGAGACACAGGAGAGTGAGCAATGCAAAATCTGAGCTTAAACTAATCTAATTACTTTGTCCATAGTAAGACAAACCACAACAATGACTGCCAGCATTTCCACTTGCTTTAAGCTGCCTGCATGTTTTAAAGCCTACTCTGATGAGCCTTTCACCAATTAAATTTCACTTCAAAGTCATGTTTCCCAAACTAATTTACAGCTGTTGCTAGAAAACCCAAGGATTTCTGCAAGTACACTACCAGCTGCAGTGAATCTGTAGTTGTCATTATCAAATAAAAACGTCAAAGAACATTTCTGCCCTTAAGCCATTACAACGTTTCCCTTAAACACCACCTGGAAGTCAGAATTTCGAGCAAGTGTTTGAGTGACAGCACAAGACAATAGGAGAGGACAAGGAGAAGGCTAAAATCAGTGCTGAAGTCTCAGCTGCAGGCAGAGCAGCCAGTGTGTTCGTACCGTTTGACCTGATGGAAGGTGGAGGATGTAGAATTCAGTTGTTCCCTGTGGAGGCCAGCTCTGCAGGAACTCTTCATGGTAACGACCTCTCCGGCTAAGGCACGTCGTTGTCACAGCCAGTCCATCCTGGGCTACACCCCAGGCTCCCCCATCAGCTCTGCCTGCCCCACCGTGTCTCTGCCACCTAAAAACTGAACAACAGAGAGCGACATGAGAAGACCACAAGCGCAGATGATCAGGACATTGACTTTCCCATGAGATAGAATCGATATAAATATAAATATATACGAACACAAACATGCTACGCATGCATAGATATAAAAGATACATATTCAGATATAAAAGAACTTAACATCATCATGCCAGTGTTGCAGCTGGAGTTCCTGAACACCACCAAACACAAATGAACACGCCCCACCACAGCCTGTCTGTACACATGGAGTTTTTTCACCTTATATCCGACTGCAGCGCTACCTTGGCGCCTCCCACGGAACACGCTGTCTTCCCAGCTCCATGTAAACAGGACGCCCAAGATCTCCCTGCTTGTTAGCACCACATCAGCCTTTGGAGGGAAGTAGCTGCTAGCAGTGAGATTTGAGGCTGCCAGGAGTTACGTTAGCGCTCTAATCAAAATAACGTGGTGGATTTTATAAAAGGACAGAAAACATGTCACCACGCAGCCTCCAAGTCTTGTGGAAACTGCCCTGTCTTTGCATCACATGCAGATAAGACAGATTACACCGAAACAAAGCTGTTCTGCAGTATCTCTTGTTCTCCCTGGGCTGCTGCCTTCTCCACCTTGTCCTTGGAGCACTCTTACTGGCACTTTAATGCACTTTGATGGAGAAAGAACAACAACCTCCAAGCTGGAACATTAAAGGGAAGAGTGACACAGCAAAAGAGCCCTGGAAAACCTCAAATACTCCAGCCTGAGCTGCCAGCAGATTGTTTTAGAGACCGTTTGCTTCCTCTCTAGAGGACTGTGCACAATGATGCCGTAATAAAGGAATGCCATTTGAGGATGCTAACTATGGAGCTGTGTCCCCAGGGGAGATGTGATTTAGTGCAGCAGGTTGCTCTCTCCTTTTCAGCAGCTCTGCCCAGCGTTCCTACTGTTGTCCTACCCCTGCTTTTGCAGAGATGGAGCCTCTCACATCACCCCCTTCCCAATCCCTCCCACGCAGAAGAGCCCTCACTATGCCCAGCCCAGCACTCTTCACTGGTGTGGTTCACAATCAACGCTCCCACTAAACACTCCTGGCCTGGGAAACCTGCTCTTGGTAGCCACACTTGCCAGGAAAATGATGAAGGATTAACCTTCCAGGCAGGAAAAACAGAAGCTGGTTTAGATCCACCTGACTTGATGTCTGCTACAGCAATTCCATGGTTCGTCTAATGATGGTGAATAAGAGGTTAAGTGTTTGCCTACATTTGAGTAGCAGGAGCCTAAAATAATATATAAAATATTATATAAGCACATTCCAGTCTTCATGGAGAAATCTCTGCTGAGCTCTACACAAAGCTAAGAAATGTGTGGGGTGGAGGGGACAGAGGCAGGGCAGTGGCAAAGCAGGAGGAGGAGGGCATGTCCTCTGCTCCAGGGATTCAGGAAGACCAGGAATTAGGTTGCCATGATCAGCAGCAGCGGAAATTAAAACTTTGTAGTTAAATACCATTTTTATCAGACTACCCGGAGTCTCCAATAAGGACCTACCTCTGAGTGAAACCTAGGCACAAAACCAGGTGTTTCTGATGTTCTCATGCTGTAAAGATATATATTCACAAACAGTAATTCACAGGGAAAAAAAAGCACATACCCACTGCTTTAGGAAAATCAAACACAAAATTGTTACTTTCCCATGAACCATCACTAAGAGGCACTGAAATTCTGACTTTTCTCCAAGCTTTTGTCTGGCTCTACTTCTGGCTTTACTAACACTAGCATTTCAAACTCAGCAGGAACTGTATCACAGAAACATGATTATATCCACACCCAAATAAACGCAACCACACCATTTCAAGAATGCCACTCACTTTTCCAATAGCTTACAACCTCTCCATGGATCCCTGGTTAAGAATACCACGTGTTTTGTCCTAGTTCCACTCCTCTGGAGATCAATTGAGAAGTAAAAGATAAAAAGCCAGACAAAGAATTGAAACCCAAAGATATCTTGTTTTGCAGTAAAGAGCTTGAGAAGCAAAACCATCAAGAGAAGTGGTTCAGGTCAGGAGCAGCCAGAACCCTGATCCAAGCACAGGCATTTTATGGTGGGATTTCGTGAGTTTAGGAAGGGACCAGCAACTACTAGAGGGAAGCAAAAGCTGACAAAATAGACACAGCCAAGTTCAGATGGGCACTGCAGCACAGACCCAACCACAGCTCCATACAAAGCATGCTTTTTCCCCCCCCTGTAGCTGCTGGGCTATAGAAAAGAGCTGAAATAGACTATTAATGCCAGCAAGCTCCTGACAAATTCCTACTGTGTGAGGAGTAAAAAGCTGTGCTTGTGAATTAAAAAAAGGAAAAGAGAGGGAAAAAAAAAAAAACCCACAGCATTTAAGCTAGGAGATATACTTACTGCCTTTTAACTACCACTGTTTCTGTACCAAGGCTGATCCTTAGCAGAAGGAGCTGCAGCCGATTTGTTAAGTTTTGCACAGAGTCAGGTACAGCCCAAAAAACTGAAATACAGATGCACAGAGAAACAAAGCAGAAGAGGAAGTTAAAACCCTAATCGTGTTCTTCTCCCTCTCTGAAACCACCCCCAAACATATGCCTTTCTGCACAAGATGTGGGAAGGACTCTGGTTTTGGCAGCAGAAAGCATCACATCCTCTCAGCCGCGGACCGAGCTCAGGAACAGTCCCACAAAATTCCCTCTTATCACCAGGTTTGAGCACTGCTGCAGCCTACAAAAACAAATGTATCAACTCAACCAGGCTGCAGTCAAGGTCTCCCCATCTCTGTAGCAATTCGCCACAGCTTTTGATATTTTTTGCAAGTGCAAGTGTGTTTTAGCTGTAGCAACAGTAACTGATCAACAAACCAGTTCAAAGGGTGGGCACATCCTCTCAGAAAATTTACTTTCTGGAAAGGAGGCCATGGCCTCAGGACTGGATCTGAGCAGCAATTGCCCTGCTGGTAAAAAACATGTGTAAAAACACATTTGACCACCCCACCTCCATGCAGGGTAAGCTTTGGGATGTTCCATAGGGAAATCACTCTGGCTCAGCTGGGCAAAGAGCATCAGCACACTCAGGATGCAGAAGGAAGCAGCAGCAAGTGTTTCAGAGCAGAACTCAGAGGAGTTAATAACAAAAACAGTCATTAGGGTGTTAAAAGTCAGTGCTGAGGCTTGATAATAAGATAGGTGTGCTTGTTTTCTTGCAAGAGCCAGGTTCCATGTCCACTCTCCCACCATGGAGTTCAATCTTAGGTTGTTATATCATCCTTGTCTCCAAAAGAGTGATTCAGCAGACAAGCACTTCTGCCATCCTCCAGCCAAGTCATCCCTCTCTCCCTCCCTGCCCAGACACCCTTCAGGACACCTATAACAGCACCACACTCTCCTAGGCAAGAGGCTTTGGCACAAAGTCTTTCTTCATGCCAACACTCCCACTGGGAAGGATCCACAGCAGCTCCCAGGCTAGGTCTGAAATGAGGTGATTCACACACGAGATCCTCAGCCTCTCAGACACCTACAAGAACACAACCACCTCTTTTTAACCATTCTTCAGGTAATATCTACATATTTAAAACACCTAAAGAACTGCCTTTTAACCCCAAAGGAGCCATCACAGGCATCATTTGCCTTGTGAAACTTTGTGTGCTCAGCCCCTCTGTTTGATGGTCCATCAGATCCAGATCTAAAGGCAATGAAACTGCCACAGGGGCTCCAGCTGGAATTAATGTGGGGGAGCTTCCCGTGTCTATTCTCACACCAAAACCAGCTGATGGCACTTCTGCCAAGCACCAGGAACCAGAGCTGGCAAAGCAGCAGGACCTGGTTATCATTGCCTTTTGCTCATTTCCCCAACAAATTCACTCCAGCCTGTCCTTCCCAAAGCTCCTCCAAGCTCCCATCCTTGGATCCCACTGGACAGAGCAGCAATTTAAATGAAAACTGAAGATTTCCATGTAAGCAGAATCAGCAGAGGCCACAAAGACAATGAGGGGTTTGGAGCACCTCTCTTATGAGGAAAGACTCCAGGAGCTGGGCCTGTTTATTCTTTCACACCTTCCCCTTTATCAGCACTGCCTCCCTGTCTGATTTCTCACCTGAAGCCTCCCAAGGAGCTGGACCAGGACAGAATTAACCCAAAGAGGTCAGCTCCTTCAACCCACTTACTGACCTGGCAGAAAACTCAGACTGGACTCAGCCATTTCCAATCCACACCTGGAATCATGCTGGAAAATGTGTCTGCTACAAAGCGGATTTCAGGTCCTTTCAGTGGAAAGGAAAGCTTCTGAATGCACAGTGGGCAAAGTGCAGAGTGTTTCAGAAGCAGGGAAATGAGCAAGCAGGGCTCCAAGGCAATATTTGACTCCTCACTGCTGTAAAACAGCACTACTTGCTGTACTGATAAGCATGTGAAATGCTTATTCCAATGAAGCACTACAGGGAGAACCTGTTTTCCTTCCAAGATCATGTCAAGAAAGAATGAAAGGCTCCACATTTGTGGCTCACGTGTTTTCTCTCTAGGTGGGGTAAGAGTTGGAAGGACTAAATTGTCCCCTCAAAAGGAAAATCTCAGAAGGGAAAAAGAAAATAAAGACAAGCTCTGCTGCACCCTCTTAGCCCTGTATGAGTATTGGGGAAAATAATATTACAAGTGTTTCCCTTGTTCAACTATTCCTGAAAGGTTTCAGCTGCCTTGCACAATTTGGGCAAGGACATCACTCGCTGTTCAGCTGGGAAGAAGTTAAGAACTGGCTCATTAGATTTGTTCTGCTTGATCCAAGAGGAAAACAAAAACAGTAAATCCCTCACTGGGCAGTGCTGCTGCAGCTCTGGTGACAAACACACGGGGCTCACACATCACTCTGCTTTCTAGAAAGCTGCCTTGGCACCCCCTTGGCACCGTCGCGTGCCCCGAATGACAAACTGGGGGTGGCAAAGCCCCTGGGAGTGGGGCTGTGGCTGCTGCACCCTCAGCTCATGGGGCACGGGCAAAAATCCTCCCTGAGCACACCACACTCGAGGCCACACGGCCCACGAGCCACAACTGAATTATTTAGCCTATAAAACTCCATCTGTTTTGCCATGCAGATTGTGAATTAATGAAAGCTCAGCTGAAAGGCTACTTTCTTGGGGCGAGAGGAAGGAGAAAGCTTCCAGAAGCCTTCCTATTATAGAAGCAATAGAGCTGGTTCCAAATATAGTAGAGCAGCACTCCCAGAGCTCTGGAGACGTTGTGCCCTGGTTTTGTGAGGCTGAGGTCTCGCTGGATTGCTCCTGCACATGCAAAGATGGGTAGAAAAAACTGCAAGATGCAGAGCTGACGTGAAAGGGGAGTTTCAGGACAAACACCAGAGGCAGAAACCCAGACTGCCTCCATGAAATATCAACCTGAACACCAGGAGAGAGCCAACCTGTCCCACTTTAGAGACAGCCAGTCAAAGCCAGCAAGAATCCCATCTTTTTCAAGGATACAACATAAGCCTGCTAAAAAAGATCCTGATTATTATTATTATTACAACCCCAACATGGCAGATTAGGATTGCCAATGATCATTTCATCACCTTGCTTTTCCTGTGGTAGCAGGGACCCTGGGAAGGTGCACTTGACTCACTTTGGCACGCAGAGGGTGGATTTGTTTTTGCTATGACAGCTCATAAAGTGACCATCACATGCCTTGCCCAACAGAAATTCCTCACCAGTTCACCAGGATAGTGACCCAATTTAATTCCTAAAGTTTCCTTCTCCTGTTTCAGGGCAGATCTTGTAACACAACAGAAATAAACTCAGTTGCAAAACTCCGATTACAAGTGTATCTTTGTATATCTCTGCATCTGTGTACTCCAGCATAGGAGTGGCCTTTTGATTGGGAAATAGTAACAAATTAATATGTCACCAGGACAGCAAAAAAAAATCTCATACAGGACACTACATAAGGGAAGAAGGCCCCCTGCAGTATGGCACAAAATGCACAGGAATAATTGCTCCTGCACATGGGGTATGAAATGGCTTCTAAAATAGCAGAAAAAACCTACAGCTGACTTCTAAATATCCAGCAAATAAATAAATACAGTTCCTTCTTTAGAACTCTGCTCATAAGGAAAACCCCACAGCAGGTAATTCAAAGTTGAGCACTAATTTCATCAGCTTTAAAACTCAACTCACTGAATAAAATATGGCTTTACCAGGTTTCTATGGCTCTAACTGGTTTGGACCAGCCCTTGGATTGCCAATTCTCCTTTCTGAGACCACCCCATATTCCTTGATCACAGGTCCAGACCTACACAGTTTAGCAGCAAAGCAAGGGGTAATTCATTTTTATTTACTTCTGTGGAATCTTACCCTTTAACAAAAAGGTTGTTTTGTGCATTTCTCTGTCCTATACCACTGTGGATGCCCTTTCAGCAGAGACAGGGTCACAAAAGACCCCTAAAAAACACTCTCCAAAAAATTCCAAGCAAACCAAACTCACAGGCACACAAAAGACTGAAAGCAGAACTATGCAGTTTTATCCACGTGGATCCATTCTT